CTTGGCAAGGGCCACGGATGCTTGGGGATCACTGTTTCGGAATTGCACCTGTGAGCGAGCCAGCTTAGGTCCGGCCTTTCCATGAGTTGGCTTCAAGATGCAGTTGTTTGGGGAAAGGCAAGTGCCGGACACTATCATGCAGACAAAGGGGGTGTGAAGCGCGCTCACCAAAGCGGCATCGGATTAATCCGAGGACCATGCTAATCCGAGCAAGTCTGCCGAAAATGGTATCACCCCGAGAGGAACCAACGCGACGGCCACCATTTGGACGCCCAAAGAATGGGTCCCCCTGTCGCAACCTTCCCCAATGTCGCAACAAAGTCGCGCAAAAAACACAGAAACGAACCACGCGGAAGGCTTCACCGTGATTTTGCTGGCCCTGGGCCACATGCCCAACACCGCGCAGAACGGCTACCCCTCGGAGGGCATCGCCTTCCTGGGGTATAGCTTGATCTTTGTGGTGAAGGCGGAGCTCAGTCAGTTGTCATCAGCCCTTTTGATGGCCAAAGTCAGTTGGAATGCATGAATCCCCATGAATAGTGGCCTTAAACCACCTGCCCTAACCTATCTGTGGACTTGCGAGTTTGGAAATCCTTCAAGTTGCTTTGGCACCCCCTCTGCTTTATTAAGAACCCCTTTTGACACAAGCACTGTTGTGCCAGAACTCCGGTTCAGTCGAGTACCAAATTGGCAAGGGCGACTGGAAGAAGCAAAGAATCGGCAAAACTCTTGACTGCCATTGGGTTGGATCTTTAGACTTTAACTTTTTAGGAAATAAAGGTGTTTTCCCCTAAACCCCAAAAAAGTGATCAACTTTTTGCAGCGGGGTCAACAGCAACCAAGGATGTGACAGACGCGTAGGCTTCCCAACAGTGCTGGCCATGCGCCCGCCAAACAGAGTGAGGTGTGGGTCCAAGGCCGACGATCGGCCGCCAACAGCCATTCATGTCTGACCATTTCAACTGGGGTCATTATTTTGACAGTTTTTGGGGGTTATCACAGTCAGAAATGGGGTTGTTTCCCTTTCTTAGGGGGTGACTTTGACCATGGTAAAATGATGAGGCTAGTTCAAGGGTGGAGAGGGAGCATATACAAAGGCCTGAGGACCTTCCATAGAATGTCCGTTAGGCCGAGGTTTCCCTACAAAAACCGCATGGTTTTCGTTCATTCTGGTATGGCAGGTCCTACCCAAACGTCGACCTTAAGCTCGTTTAGGTGAGAACAAAGCTCATTCGGCCTTTCAATCGCCGTGTGTGGCACGCGCACTTGGCCACCATGAATCGGACACACCAGGCTGTCTCAGGTTTCTTGGCTGCTGGGTTTTTGCAGCTGGGCAAGGAGCCAAGCCCAGTGCTCGACCTGAGCTTCATCCAGCCGGGCCAAATTGGGGCCCAACCTCACAAGTTATTCAACATCATCTTCCCGGATTTGTGCATCCGGAGAGTTCCAAAAAATGGAGCCACAAGTAAACAACCTCCAAAGGGAGCTCGACATTTAGGGATCCCCTATTCCGAGACAAGCCCTATGTAAACACCTTTTTTTTCCAACTTTTTATTGAAAGGGCAACCAAAAGAACACATGCATTTTGAATTGTCCTCCTATTTGAGATAAACGACTCTTCAAAACACATCACTGTTTGTCCACAAACCCTTCGCCTGCGATGGGGGGCTCTCGAATTTGAAGATTCATCCATTGTCATCCACATGTTCGACAGGCAATACCGTCAAAATGGGAGGCCTTTCATTGGTTGACAAACCGTTTCCTCCTTGAAGACACTCCCGACCCACGCGTTGTGTTTTGCAATTGCAATTTCCCCCCGCCCCGCTTTTTACCCCCTGAATTGGTGGTTTGGATTAGTCGTTTGGGGTTTGAACCCTAGTTCCTTTGAAGCCAACTGGGGAAGATCCACGCTTTATCTTCATTCCGGGAGCCAGGCCATGGCATGGAGGGAAAATGGGACACCCCTTCCCCGAGCACCTCCAGACCACTGGGCTCCGAACCAAGCTGGTAGGCCTTTATGGGTGAGATGAGCTTGCGGGACCAGTTCAAGGCGCGGAAGGCCATCAACACCACCAAGGTGCACATCGAAGGCGCAAGCTCGCGCGAGCGCCTGGGTTCGCCCTGGCGCGGTTCGTGAAACCTTGTCTCGGGAGCGAACCCGAAAGGTCGAGAAGTAGAAATGCCGGACGTGTTCCATGCTGCATTGTTTCTAGCTTTTCTCACGATGCTACGTTTGTCGCGATACTACTTTGTCACTTTTCTAGTTTTCGCAAGTTTGTACTTTTCTCACTCTTCGATCTCACTTTTCTCATTTTTCGCACTTTTCTCACTTTTCTCATGTTTCTCACCTTTCTCATTTTCCTCACTTTTCCCACTTTTCTCACTCTGTTGTTTCTTCTTTTTTTTTCTTCTGCTGTTCTCATGTTCCTCACTTTTCCCACTTTCTCACTCTGTTTTTTTTGGGGGGGTTCTTTTCTGCTGTTCTGTTTTTGCTCAGTTCTACAGTTCGACTTGTTGTTCCTACCTTCTCGCGTTTCTCGATTTGCTCACTTTTCTACTATTCTACTTTCCACTGTTCTACTTGCCACCTTTCTGGGTTGTTCACTTTTATCACGTTTCTCTCACTTTCTATGTGTCTTGCGTCTCTACTTTTGTTACTGTTCTGCTTTTGATTTGCTTTCTACTGTTCAACTTTTTGGTTCTACATGTCTACTTATTGTCCTGCATTTCTCTTTTTTTTTCCTTTTTCTTGTTTCTTCTTCTTCTTTTTTCTCGCTTTGCTCACTTTTCCATAATTCTCATTGTCTATTTTTCTTCCTTTCTGACATGTGCCAATACACCACGAGTGCGTATGATGGTGACTGGCAAAATGTGGATAGCATGTGACAACACGAGAAGCAAATGCGGCTGTCGAAAAACCAGCAGTGGCCTGAAACAACATAAGTCAATACCGTACTTGGCTCCAAGAACGCTCATGATAACTTTAGCACTCCCAACTGCCTCTTTTGAGCCCCTCAAGCTTGTCAGGATTATGCCAGGCAACGCTTGCTTGGGTGGTTGGATTGCTGGCCTGTCTTGGGCGTTTGAACCTCAGTTTCTCTTGAAGCCAAATGGGGAAGGTACCCCCTAACGTCCAACCAATCCAAATCACCAATTCGAGGGAAGCTGATAGAAGTGCTCCTGAAACCCCAACCACATCACCAATCCAAAACCTATGTCCCAGTTGCGTCGTTTTTCTTGCCAAAGTGTTTGCATGGCTGGTCTTTGGTGTGGCCAAATCGCCGCTTCGACCTTTTGGACGCATATGTTTCTCCAGTAAGCCTGCAAAAGGTTGGCTTTGTGCCCAGGGGGAAAGCGCGACTCAGTTTGGGAGTAAGGGCAAGGGGAACAGCATCTGGCCTAGAAGCGCCGGACGATCTCCGCATGTTTGGCACCTTTCCATACTCTTTCAAAACAGGGATAGGTCCACGAAAGCAGCCAACCCACATGGACTGAAAGACACGGCAAACACCCTGATGGCTTCGGCACCCCGAGTGGTTTTTCATGCAAAAACCCAAGTGAAACCCCACCGCAAGCCGCTGGTTTTGAATAGAAAAACACAGCCCCATGTGCGCAAGCCACGGGTTTCTCATGGAAAGAAACGTCCCATGTTGCGGTGGGAGGAATCCTGGAGTCCATGATGCCTCACCTGGTGGTCTACGAGCTCCAGCGCCTGCCGCCCGATGCACCCGCGCCCTCCCACCACTACTTCCGGGCCACCGTGGTGCAGTCAGACCTGGCGAGGGGGGGGGGGGCGGCGGCGTCGGGTGAGGCGCCGTGGGGAAGGACGTCACTTCTTGTTACAACTTGGAATAGTTTGAACACGGATGAACACAGCTATACTCATAACAGTAGCTTTTGGAATATTATACTATTGTTTGTTATCATGTATCATTATTGGAAAGATCAGACTTTAGATCCTCCCCAAACCTGCCCTCTTCCAATAATCATGGAAGCTGATGATCGGTCGGTCTTGGAAGACACTCCTTTTGAAAAAGGCTGGCAGCTAACCACTCCCATGGTTGTTGGAAACACATGTATCATACTGTATGGCAGACTAAACGGGTGTGTCTTTTTTCGAAGGTGCACGTTTTGGGTTTGTGTAAAAAATGAAACTTAAGGACAACAGATCAGTTGTTGGACCCGCCAGTTTCAGACACACCCAAATGTGGGCCAGACTCTGGACATTTGAACTGTTTGCGTACAGAGTTGGGCCAAGTTCGGAATTGCTCCTGTAAAGCAATTTGCAGCACAAGGGAAGCTTGTGGGCAGTGGGTTGCTCAGCTTTTTCGGAGCCAACTTATATCAACTTGGCATGACTTGATTGCCCAAGAGTAAGCAAACTAGCCCCAAGTTAACGTGGAGCCGCAAAAGGAAATGGGACTACTCTAACGTTTTGCTTTTAGTCTGCCATGGTGATCTGTTGGAGTGCGCGTACTCGACTTGATTATGTCCTCCTTAGCTGCGCGTACACGACTTGATTATGTCCTCCTCAGCCTTTATCCAAGCTCTGCTTGTACCTGGCTCGGCTGCCTCTGTTTTGGAATGTTAAAATCAAACAATATTTCGCAGCGTATAACCCCCATGTGATTGGTTCTCAAAACGGTGGTCCCCCAAAACAATTTGTTTCCTTTGGGTTTCCCTGCAACTGAAAGGGGTCCATTTTAGCCGTGGCCTCCAGGCCCCCCCCCCCCCATCCCTTCGTGGAGTATGCCTTGGGCTTCTGCGCAGGTGGGCTTTACCAGGATGGCCAGCCTTCTGCCACCAGAGGAAGTGGTGAAGGCGGTCTCCGCGCCCCGAAAATCCGGGAGGGGGTCAAGAGAGCTGGCACTTTTTTTCACATCACCTTTTGGGCCGATTCAAAGTGAGCTTCGCTTTGAAGCAATGTTGCAAGGGGAAAATCTAGGGAGCCCTGCTCCATGAACATGAAGTTGTCTCTCACTTGGGGGTTCGACATATTTCCAGAGAGTGTTTCCGTATTTGGTCAAAGGGATCAACATCCCCAGGGTAGATAATTTTGTAAACGGCTGCCTTTTTGCCAAACGTCACTTTGTCTGCCCCGTCAGGGTTCTCAGAGCGACCCTAACATATTCCAAAGACTTGGCCAAACTTAAGGCCTTGGGCCTAAACTTGGGTCTGGTGGGTTTTGTGCATTGTTATGCCTCTAGCACACCTTGGCAGATTTCTTGTTTGCCTCATTGGCATTTATATGACTTGTAGGGAAAGTAAGCCAAGCAGGTGGCCAGGCGAGGAATCCTCCTTCGGAGCAGCTTTCAGGGAGGGTTCTGGAGGGTTTCAGTTCTGGGACTGTTGTGGGCACCACCTGGGTATATTTATTAGTTTGTTGATGTATATATCTTTTTGTTTGCTCACTTTTTCTCTCTCTCTCTTCCTCTATTCTCTCTTTCTCTCCGTCTCTCTTTCTCTCTTGCGCATTTCCTTGGTAGCCTAAAGGCACCTGGCTGTTTGGTAAGGGCAAGTTGTGGAAAGAGCAGACGCATCTACCAACCACCTGGTGCTATGCAATCTTGCCCTAACAAACTGTGTGTCCGTTGCTGCACATCATGCCTCATGTTGCGCAGATGTCCCTTTCGCAGCGGCTCTTGGAACCGCTTCTCGTTTCCCTTGCCGCGCTGACCAAGGAAATCTTCAGCATCTTCGACAAGCTCGCGGAGAACCACGGCGTGCCTCGCCGGGAGGGTGTGGTTCACTGACCTGCTGACGGGTTGTTCACTGGGACTTGAGTTGAGAAGTGGTTTCAAGAAAACAGCGCCTGTAATCATTCTCCAGGCAGTTTGTTGTCAGTCTAACTTGGAGCCAACCCAAGCACTTTCTCCTGCTTGTCTCAAATGTTTTAGGCTGACATGAGATGTGTACAACATGCCGCAACCCCTCAGGCAACAGTCTAGACTCTAGCAACCCGTGCGTTGGAAGCTTCTGAAGATGACCTATGCTTGAGATGGTCTGATTTCCACTTAATATCACTTAATTCCACGCGTGTGCCGGAGTGAACTTGTGGTCACTTTCGCGGCAGGCCTTTGGCCACAGTACTGCCAGGCAGATTCTTTTTTTCCCTGCTGCCCGATGATTAGGCCTCGCTTGTTTTGGACCTTGGGATGTGAGAGGATTTTTGCAAGGCACGCATTGATGAGCTACCCAGATGCCAGAGTGAACGGAGCCGAATCCAGTGCCAATTGGGTGGTTTTTGCAGATGCCGTCTTTCCACCAGGGCCATGCTTTTTCTGTTGGGTTGCGGCTTGGCCGAATCCAATGCCGCCGGGGATCCGATTCCCCCCCGGCAGGTCTATAAAGTGGAGACGGTGGGGGACGCATACATCGCGGGCCAAGCAGAGCCGCCTTTGACCAGCGAGAACGATCCCCCCAGCGTGATCCGATTCGGGCTTGGCATGGTCCACGCGGCGTCGGATTGGTCGGAAACGCACGGGCAGCCCATCAAGGCGAACGGGAGTGATGCATATATGTGTTGGAAGCTTACCGCCTCGAATGTGGCGGCTGCAACCGAAGAAGGCGGCAGGTTGTATACTCAAAGTTTGCTGGCCGTTCGCTGGGTTCTTTTGCAGGCCGCTGAACACCGGCTTGTTCTAGGGGGTGGTTCTTATTTTTCCTCTTCAAGCAGCACGGTGTTTGTTCGGCCATGAGCTTTTGCTGTGCTGTTTGCCTCTTCCCACCTTCTTGGTGTATCTCCGCCGTGCCGTGTGACCATCACGGCCCCAGAAGGTTCCAATAAACGAGCTCCAGCATGCCCCAGAGGACTTTCCGGAGACCGGTGATGGGTGGGGTTTCAACGCTCCAATTGCCCAGAACCCCGCACAGCAAAATCGACGTAGGCACCATGAGGTGCCATCCCCTAAGCGAAGCGGCCCGAGAGAGAACCTACGCAAAACCAGCTCGCGGCCCTTTTGCCGGGCCAGCGGCAATTGCAGTTTCGGGTCGCATGTCTGCAATGAATCGGCCTAGTTGCTATGCTCCTTATGCTCCAAGAAAGGCTGTGAACTCTGTGGAGCTCCGTTTGTCCTGTACCGTCCAGGGGGCTCCAGACAAGGGAGCTTAGGGTTATGACCAGACGGGCTCAGACAGGAGAGGTTTTAGCGGAACAAAAAAAAACTCAAAAAAAACTCAGAAAAAACTCAGCCAAAAAACTCAACTGAAAACACAGACTCAAAAAAAACACAAAAAATACACAGCAGGAGACTCAAAACAAACACAAGAAAAACACAGCAGGAGACTCAAAAAAAACACAAGAAAAACACAGCAGGAGACTCAAAAAAAACACAAGAAAAACACAGCAGGAGACACAAAAAAACACAAAAATACACAGCAGGAGACTCAAAAAAAACACAAGAAAAACACAGCAGGAGACTCAAACTAAACACAGCAAAAAGCACAGCAGGAGATTTGAGTTTTTTTTTGAGTTTTTTTTGAGTCTGTTTTGAGTTTTTTTTGAGTCTGTTTTGAGTTTTTTTTGAGTTTTCTGCGGTTGTTTTTGCATTTTGCCCCTCCCCCACCCCCAGAACCCTCCCAGACCCCTGCTTGAGTTTTTTTTGAGTCTGTTTTGAGTTTTTTTTGAGTTTTTTTTGAGTCTGTTTTGAGTTTTTTTTGAGTCTGTTTTGAGTTTTTTTTTGAGTTTTCTGCGGTTGTTTTTGCATTTTGCCCCTCCCCCACCCCCAGAACCCTCCCCAGACCCCTGCTTGAGTTTTTTTTGAGTCTGTTTTGAGTTTTTTTTGAGTTTTTTTTTGTGTTTTCTGCGGTTGTTTTTGCATTTTGCCCCTCCCCCAACCCTCCCCAGACCCCTGCTTGAGTTTTTTTTGAGTTCTTTTTGAGTTTTTTTTGTGTTTTCTGCGGTTGTTTTTGCATTTTGCCCCACCCCCAGAACCCTCCCCAGACCCCTGCTTGAGTTGTTTTTGAGTCTGTTTTGAGTTTTTTTTGAGTTCTTTTTGAGTTTTTTTTGTGTTTTCTGCGGTTGTTTTTGCATTTTGCCCCTCCCCCACCCCCAGAACCCTCCCCAGCCCCCTGCTTGAGTTTTTTTTGAGTCTGTTTTGAGTTTTTTTTTGTGTTTTCTGCGGTTGTTTTTGCATTTTGCCCCTCCCCCACCCCCAGAACCCTCCCCAGACCCCTGCTTGAGTTTTTTTTGAGTCTGTTTTGAGTTTTTTTTTGAGTTTTTTTTGAGTATTGTTTGTGTTTTCTGCGGTTGTTTTTGCATTTTGCCCCTCCCCCACCCCCAGAACCCTCCCCAGACCCCTGCTTGAGTTTTTTTTGAGTCTGTTTTGAGTTTTTTTTGAGTTTTGTTTGAGTATTTTTGTGTTTTCTGCGGTTGTTTTTGCATTTTGCCCCTCCCCCCCAGAACCCTCCCCAGACCCCTGCTTGAGTTTTTTTTGAGTCTGTTTTGAGTTTTTTTTGAGTTTCTTTTGAGTCTTCCCAGATTCAGACTATTTCAGATTGAGTTTTTCGGATTGGGTTTTTTCTGAGTATTTTTTGTGTTTTTGCAAATTCCTGGATTTGCGGCCTGTGTGGGCGAGATCAGGTCTTAAGCTTAGGGTCACTTTAGGCAAAGGGAGACCTAAGGGGATTCCCCAACCGGCCGTGGCCGTCTGGGCACGGACTTGGAACTCGGCAGGTGCGTGTGGGGGTGCATACCGGCGAGTGCATCGGGGGCATCGTGGGCATCGACAAGCAGCCCCTTGGATCAGGGGAGCAAGCGGAACGTTGGGACTCGGGACGCAATGGTGGAGTTTGTCCGGCTGGAACCCCCCTTCGAAGCCATGCCAATCCCCAATGGGTCCACCATGATTAAAAACCTAAGTTTCTTTTGGCGGAACCCCCGTCCGAAAGGATGCCGAAATGATACCTGCCAGAGTTGCCCCGATTTTCTGGAGGACACACAATTGCGCCTAGAGACCTTTTTGAGAGTTGCCTTTGAGGGCTGGTCTAAACGGAAAGGAACCGTGGGCTCCCCTATTTTGAGACACACCCCCGTGGTCCTACCTACTTCTCCCTAGGAGTTCAAAGGTGTTGTCCGGAGGGTGAAGGTCCCGGAAGTTTGGCGAGATTGCCAGCATCAGGCTTAAACTTCGGCAGTTGCTCCAGCAATTCAAGTCTTTTTGCAGGCGCAACTTTTCCCAGGGACTTGGAGGCAGTTGTAGGCTGGCCGCCTTGCGCTGATCCGGACCACATTTGGGGCGTGCCTTTGTGGGTGCGTCTTGAAAAGTCCCCCTACATGGTGGTTTTAAATATCACCGCTTGTGCCCCTAGCAGAATCAACCTCGGAAAGGGTACCCTTTGAAAAAGAGACAGTCGAAGCTGACTGCAGGTTTATATCAAGCGGACTGTGATTAACCCTGAGATTCAAACCCATTGGAAGAATGATTGACCATGGTAGGCCCAGTTTGGATGATGAAACTCTCCGGGTAAACAACTATTATGTTGACCCAACCGTTGCTTTAATGGCTTGAATAGGGTTACGCTGTTGTCCTGTCAAGTTAGTGGCACGGGCGCCCCTATGGAGGCCCCTTTGTGTAGAAATTTCCTTGAAGCAGGGTCCCCATCACAAATGAGAGTCCAGACCACCTATTGGCAATTTTACTACAGTACAGCCTACATAACCCCCCCATAACTTAGAACCATGCGAAAGCCACACATAAATGGGTTCTGGGCGCTGCTCACATATTCACCATTTGAAAGTAGCCACCGGCGCCCGAATCTACCAGGTTTCATTCTGGGGTCAACACGAGTTTGGAGCGTTTTGCTTTCGCCCGAGGCGATACCACCTCTTTGGGCAGCTGATGCACCAGCTGGAGCTTTTGGAGTCCACCGCGCCGGAGTGCTTTGTGCCTTGTCGCGCGGGGGTCGTGGGGTACTTCTACCATCCTCAAACACCCACTTCCCCCCATTGGATGCGGTGCGCGCCTTGATTCGGAGCTAGATGCTGGTTACCCCCTCCCGCCCTAGTTTTCAGCTTGGAGTTTTCAACCCCCGTTTGCGTCTTTATCTTGGTCGGTTTACCCTTTTGATGATCAACTGTTTGTTTGTTTGTTTGTTTGTTTGCGTGCCAATGATAGAACAATTCTAGGCCAGTTCTTGTTTTCCAGCCGGGCACCGCTTCCTGGCCCCAGCAGCTTGCATTGCCTCAAACTTGGCTGCCGACTCGTGCTTAATCCCATGTCGGGTCACCTTGTGTTGCGATTTGACTGACTTTTCCGCCAACAAGCCGATTTTTCCGTAGACTACTTGCTTTTGGAAAGGGTTCCTGTGAGCTTTGTGTACCAAGCCACGTTTGCGGCTAGCCAAAGCAAGGGGTGTAGATTCTTGCTTGGGTGCTAAACGGCTATTATATGTTGCAAAAAGCAAAGCAAGACCAAGCAAAGCAAAGCCACAGGGGCTGGCTAATATTTCAACTTGTGCAGACCCTTTGTTTTTGACCCGCTTTATCGCAGGTACAGATCTCCCAGTCCTGCAAGCAAGCCTCGGAGGCGGAAAGCTCCGGAAGCTGGGGGGTGAGATGATGGGTTTGTCTCAAAGTCGGATGAAGCCTGGCTCCCAATGTTTAGGTTGATGCAGACGAGTCCCTCATTTTGCCCCCACAGCTGAAAGCTTTGCGGTCTTCGCCCGAGTTGCCTCTAGAGTGGTTCGGAGCGCTGGGGTTCCGGAAGGGTTCCGGGTGCTGTTGGGAATTGCGCCTGGACTTATGCAAAACTCCGGAAAGGGTAGCGAGCCTCAACAAAAAAGAACAACACCCACATTGAATTGTTTGCCTTTGCAGGTGGCACAGGGAGCCGCTTAAACACACCTCTTGAAAGGGATGTGTAGTTGCGTGTTGGTCATTTCGCATGGATTCTTCAACATTCTTCAACCATTTGCTGCGTTGTGTAGTTGTGTTGAACGTAAAGCCTACATACCCTTCAACTTGTTCAACCGTGTTAGTGGGAGCAGAAGTCAATGGCCTGTTGGCGCTGCTCAACTTGGTTTCCTGAGGGCCGCTCTTTTCCTCGGAATGGCTCAGAAACTGGGCCCTTGAATCTGTTTCGTGTTGGCATCTGGGTACCCCTGAATGCCGAAACGGAATTTGGTAGACTCCCCTCCCCATATTGCATGTCAATTCAAGCGCGTTCTTGAATTCCGGGGGGCCGCTCTACTTCCCATCTTGAGAGAGCCATTGGCAACCAGGTTTGCCCTTCCTCCAACATGGGTCCCACCCCCTGCTTACTCCCTTTTGATCTTCAGTTCGGAAGGCCGGTTTTAAAGGAAAAGACTCTTCCACAACCTGCAGTCAAATTCCACGCGGTCAGAATCCTTGACACGGTCCCTTTGCATGGGGGGCGGTTGTGGCTGGTCTTCGCTTCACATGTGTCACGTGGCGCAAGTAAATCCCAAGTAGTTTGAAGCGAAAACCCGCAGGCCCTGATGAAAGCTTCGGCCACTCCGATCAGGGGTCAAACTGGATTGGGCTGGTTTGGCGAGCGGACTATTTCTTGTCATCCCTTAAGACCAAAGGATTCGCCCCCCAAATCACCAATCCAAAGCAGCAATTGAGAGGAGCCCGACAATTGGCCGCTTTGGAGGCGCTAGCGGACTTCCACTTTGTGGAACGGCCAGAGCCCTACCTGGTGACGTCCAAAGGGGAGGTCCATCAATACCCGGAGGTGGGCGGACGCACGTGCCCTGGCGGTAAGAATTGTTGAAGCGTTTGGAGGAGGCTGAAGAGGAAATTTGCAGTTGTGGTTTGTTGGTTGGCTGGTTAGTTACTTTGGTGGCTGGCTGGCCGGCCGGCTGGCCGGTTGGTTGGTTGTGTTGTTTTTGACAAGTTCGATTTGGTTGGTTGAGTTGGCTAGCTGTTTGCCTGCCTCCTGCTTATTTGTTTGCTTGGTTGGTTATTTCAGGCTTTCTCTCGTTGTTTGTGACCGGTTTTCCCGCTTTGCCATTGGCAAGGTTCCTGGTCTCTGCACAAACCGGAACCCGCATCGAGTCCGCGCATAGCCTAAGAATTTAGAGTTTGCATCCCGGCCGCCGGTGGGATGCAGCGTATTTTGCCCGAGCGCCGAGCAGCTTCTGACACGGGAAGCTGCGTTGGACTTAAGATTCCAACATCTCATTGGGGAACGGGCGAAGATCAGAAGCCGTTTGCGAATCAAGCAAGGTATAGGTTGCCGGCTGGGAGAAGCCCCCTTTGAAACAATGGCGTTTGTCAGAAGGTTTGGGTTCTGGGGGCCCAGCTTATCCCCAATCCGAATGACATGGACATGGGGCAATTTCCTCAGCACCCGTCGTTTATTTTTATTAGTATCACTTGGAGTAGTTGTATGACTATATTAATATTATCATTATTTTAATTTCTAACACTAGTGTCCTATTACTGTCATTATTATTATTGTCACGGCTCATTTTATGTTGTTAACGTGGTTAGTATTGTAACTTAATGTAACTGCGTGAGTGTGCAGAGAAAACAATAATGTTATGATCATGTCAGGGCCGTCCATGGATTTGACCCCCAGCGCCTGTAAAAGGCCCTCTTTTCTGCGTCAGCAACCGCAGACTGGCTGGTCCGTCAGTTTGAGTCTGTCGGTCGGTAGAGTGGTTGGTTGCTTGGTTGAATGTTTTTCGCGGATATCAGATGCTCTCACACCAGGGAAACTTGCCGGCAAAGAGCGCCAGCACTCGCGGACGAAGCGATACAGACGGGAGACGCGTTTCTGGAATCTGGTCTGAACGGAATACCCAAAAGGGCCCACAAATCTTGGGAAGACGTTTGTTGAAGCCAACTCCCTTGAAGATTGTGTTTCATTGAATTTCATAGCCTGTTCCCCGTCTGAGTCGGCAGGGCAGCGTGATTAAGAGGGCTTGTCCCTTATCGTCCGGCCAAAGCGGAGCTGTTCGCGGCAGTCCGGGTCCTGAACTTACCCCTTCTTGGAGCAGGGCCGTAACTGTTATTTTTCGGTTGGCTGGAAAGTCGCCGGTCAAGTCTAAGTTAAGGTTCCTTGATGCTTGGAGGTACCCTCCCAGTCTGATGGCCCCTGGTTTGCGCCATGTTCCTAAAGCGAGCTTCTGATGGGTTCCATGTTGGTGGATTTGTTCAGCTGATTTGCCTCTTGGGTTGTTGAAAGATTTGGCATCACTCTTCGGGCCAAGCTTGGAGTGCAGCATGTCTCATAGGCCTTGGGTTTGTGCCGGTGTACCTTTGTGGACAGTTCGCGGCACCATGCAGAAAGTTCCACAGGAGCCCCAATGTAGGTTCTGAGTGTGGCTCACCATGATGGTCCAACAAAACTTGGGGAGTCTTGTACTTCAGGCTGTGGAATTTGTGGAATCAGGACCCCATGAATTGTAAATTGGGAGTGACAGGTAGTGGGCATTGCTGCTTGGATATGTCTCACCCATCACTCTACGAAACTAGCTGCAGGAATTTCTACAGGGAATCCTTCCCTTTTTGTCGGGACTTTGGCAGATGATCTGTAGAAATTCCTGCCGGTTTCCGTGAATTACGGGATGCGTCCATCTTGTGACAGGGACGCAAGGACGCACAGTTGGCTGGCAGGGGTGATCGGAGGGGCGCCCTACGCAGATGCTCTCCGACTGTGCAGCTGTTGCCCCAAGCCATGCAGAGGATGAAAGTCTCGCAGAGCTGGATCGAAGCCTCACCCAGCAAACGCAAATTTGCGCGCAGAGAAAAGTGAGTGGGGAGATTGGGGAGGGTAACGCAACAGCTAGAGAGTAAGACTATGGGCTTGTCTCAAGAATGGGGGGACCCAAAATGAGTGGCTTCCTTTTGGTTTCCCTTTAGAAACATCCACCATCGACGAGGTCCTTGTTTACCACGGTAAACTTCTTGTGCTTCTGGTGCGCCACAACGCCGGTGGAAAGTCTGGGAGATCCAACAGTAGAGTGAACTGGCAGTCACAACTCCAGGATTCTCAGAAGTTCTTGGTTGACGGTGTAGGGCAGCAGTGATGAGCATGCGGGTGGATGGCTGGATGGTGCGCCAGTCCCAAACATTTGTGATCCAACGGTCAGCCAGTTGTGCATGAGGCCCCCGAAACGGTACCACAAGATCACAAGATGCTCTGGCATGCCGGTTGCATGCCCGTCATGCCTTGAAGGTTGCAGAGCTTCAGGGCTCATCTGCCGCGATTTCGATTTCAGGCTCCTTTCGGGGCCCGGGGCCAGGCCGGGAATGGGCCCAATGGAGGGAGAGGAAGAGCCGCTGGAGGAGGAGACGCAGAGCAAGAAGGGGAAGAAGAAGGAGGGCAAGACGCTTGGCCTCAAACCTTCAGCTCGCATATCCATTTTGGGTGCCTTCAAGTCTTATCTGATCGGCCAAGTAAAAGGAGTTTCATGCGAGGCTTAGTGGGCTACTTGTTTCTGCTATGTCGAGCGTTCAGCTTGGCAAAAGGGGCGTTTGGCCATTCAAGGTGCCTCAGTGTTGGACCTCCCCTGACTTGCCCCAAGCGAATCAACCTTTGTGGTTGCCCACCGCCCAACCCTGGCCTCGTTCCGAATGCGTAGCAACCTGAGCTTTGAGTTTTGAGGATGCCCTGTGCAAGAAGCGATTCGCATGGTGTGCCTGCCATGGGTCATGCCAGAAGTGGCAGGGGGTATGAGAAACGTCGGGACCGTTGTCTGGATGACATGTTTGAGGATCATTATTATGCTCGCCATCCAGGAAACCATGGCCGAAGAAGGCGTGGCGGCCCTGGCGGGACCGAATCAGCGACCAACAGGCGGGGCTGGGCAACCTGCACGCCCAAGATTGCTCAAGCAGGCACTTTTTTATGGCTTGAAACGGGTACCTGGGCCGAGGGCTCCACAGGGACTTGTGGGCCTCTCAATGGGCATGTTGTTTTTTTTAAGGAAACCCTCTAAGGGGTGATTTCCCTTCGGTTTCCCTCAAATGTCCACAAACCAGCTGGGTGTCCTTGAAAAGGGACAACAATTCAACTTGGCCAGGACGCCGTGCTCTTTGTTCAGTCCTTCGTGGACGTCGCGGAGCAGCTGTCACGGCTCCTTACCGTCTCTGCGAATGGCGTGGCCATCGGCGGCTTGGCCATCGGGGAAGGGAACCCATGGACAGGCAGAACCTGCGCCCGGTTTGGGGCATCCTGCGAATACTTTAGGCTGGAGCTGGAGCTGCTCAACCAAGGCGAAGATTCGGAGGGTGTTTTTGGCTCCATGAGCAGTAATTGGCCCAGGCTACATGCTGCACGAGATCACCGGTGCCCCTGTACTTACCCATAGCTTTCGTTTGAGCAACCTGGACGCTTGGCTCAGAAACTATACGACATTCACGACCCTTATGCTTTAGCAGCAAACCAACGGTCATAGCTATTTTCTTGATGGGAGGCGCAAGAGCTCATGGGGCACGGTACGCTTTTAGCTCGACTAAACCATGTCCAAAAATGAACAAAAAGGGATAGCCAGGCATCCCCCAAATTCCGCTTTCGGATTTAAGACGGATCGCTGTTCATTAACTTATAGCCGGCGAAGCCGGTGGTCGGAAGTTTCTATAATTATAAAGACTATAGTTCTCTATAGTTCTCTTGCTCTTTCCTTTCTTTTTTTCTCTTGTCTTTCTCTTTCTCTTTCTCTATTTGTTTCTCTTTCTCTCTCTCTCTCTCCCTCTCTTTCTCTTTCTTTCTCTTCTATTTCTCTTTCGTTTCTCGTTCTCTTTCTCTTTTCTTTCTCTTTCTCCTTGTCTTGCTCTTCCTCTTTCTTTTCTCTTTTCTTGCTCTCTTTCTTTCTCTTTCTTGTTTATGCATTTCCATTTCACTTTTCTTCCTCTTTATTTTCTTGCTCTTTCTCATTTCTTTCTCTCTCTCTCTCTCTTTCTCTCTTTTTCTTTTTCTGTTCTTCCTTTTTATGTTTTTCTTTACCTTTCTCTTTTGTGGTTTCTTTTTCGCTTTCTCTTTCTATTTTTCTTTCTCTTTTTCCTTTCTCGCTCTCTTTTTATATTTCTCTTTGTTTTATCTCTCTCTTTCTCTTTCCTTTTCTCTTTTCCTTTCTCTTTCTCTTTCTTGACTTCTTTTCGCTCTTTTATTTTTCTACCTCTGCCACGAAATCTGTACCTGACCTTGCGAAAGTGCTGTGCCTGCCACGATTTCTGCACCTGACCTTTCCAAAGTGCTGCGCCTGCCACGTCTCTTTTTCTGCACCTGACCTTGCGAACGCGCTGCGCCTTCCACGAAATCTGCGCCGCACCGTGCGAAGCTGCTGCGCCTGCCACGAAATCTGTACCTGACCTTGCGAACATGCTGCGCCTGCCACGTTTTCCGCACCTGACCTTGCGAACCCGCTGCGCCTGCCACGAAATCTGTACCGTGCGAAACTGCTGCGCCTGCCATGCAATCCCAACCTTGCGAAACCTTCGTGTTCTCATTGCAGTGAGCCGTCCGTGCCGAGACCGCGCCGTACCCGCAGCAAACAGGCGTCGAGACGGAGGTGGCTGACATCGACACAGACCCGCCAAAACCCGCACAGGGTCACTTTGTTTTTCGCGATTTCTACTCCCCCGCCACACGTCCAGGCATGTTTTATCGCATGCGTTCAGTCTTTCTTCATCTTATCTACGCACTAACTCTCTGCATGCGCTTTCTTTTCGCATGCTCTATCTGATCTTCTAAAGCTATCTGCAAGAGCTATCTCTTCGCCGCGCCATCTGATCTCCTCATTCTATTTATGTGCGCAAGCTACCTTTCAATTAGTTTCTGTACTACGGAAGTTCCTTCTAAACTTCCCTTGGTCAATAATCAAGCCCAAACGTGCACTCATTCTGGTCAGTCGCATTGTGAGGGTTGCTCTTGCGGGCACCAGACAGTTTGAACAGCCAAGCATTGCCTGGAAAAAGGCCATCAAAGTGTGAATAAGGCCCCTACCTGTCCAACATCACATCCTAACATGGAATCGGACTGCACGGATGTTCTTTGTTTTCGTTTTGCGCGGATGGTTGGCATCCGCAGCATAGCTACAAACTGGTTGCTTGAAGAGCCGGCAATTGCTGAGCTCCGCCGGAAGTCAAGAAGGGGTTGGCATTCCTAGCTTTCCAATTTTCCAGACCCAATCAGTCACCCGGCCACGGTTTGTGCAGAAAATTGTCCTACTCGAGGAGGTCTTGGTCCGTTAAATTACTCCCCAAAGAGAAGCCAGTAGGGACCCCTGTTCCATTTTTTGACTACCCCAAGATGGGCTTAAGCCCAGGGGTTACTGGGTTTAAGTCTACCATGGTCAAAAGTCTGTTTTTGGAGGGTACCTTTTTTCCTTGGGTTGGTTTGAACGGCGATGTAAAGGAACCCACGCATGTTGAACGTCACCATTTGGAGACATATCCAAATCTGGGTTGTCCTCCAAAGCTCAAATCTATTTCATCGTTTCGGGTAGGCCAAACATGAAGCAGAATCATCGTATTTTCTGTGCACCCAAGATGGCCTAGAAATGGGTGTTTCGTTTTTTAGGAGACCTCCAAACTTGTGGTGTTCCTTTTGGTGTTCCTTTAAAAGCGACCGCAAAGAGGGTATTCTCAAAACAGACGCCCAAATGGAGCAACTTCAGGGCTACAAAGACGGCCTCACCGCCGTCACCAGCGACACGTCCCCGGACAGCGCTGCCTGCTGCGAGCTCGAGGCAAGCAACTGCCTGGTTCCCCCGGCTGTGCTCTACGGCGGGGACTTGCAGGCGATTCGGAGAAGCCTCAAGCGGACGGGATTCCATTGGGCGCCGGCTTCATTTGAGCTGGCTCCAAGCCGGGGTAATTGGAGGGTCAAATCCAAGGCAGCAACGGGTGCGGATATCTAGCTTTTCAAGTCTTTACATGGCTCTGGGTTCGCCATGTGTGTACCAGGTTTTGATTATGACTCATTTTGTTTGCCGTGGACTTGGTGGTTGATCAATATTCTGGCCCCCAAATAGCCATACGTAACTTTTCCGCCTTAGTTGAACATGTCCTCTTTTTGATGGTTTTCCCCAATGGACATCCCATGTAGAGGGTCTTTTGATCAACCCTCACTTAGACCCAAAGGTGGTTCAAATAAACAACTCAGCCTTTGAAACCAACGAGGGAAGCAGCAAATGATGTGGACGACCCGAAGTGAGCTTCAACAAATAGGGGTGTGTGTGTGTGTGATACAGGCTAACCCTTTCCAACAGGGCAACCACAACTTTTTGGCCCTTCCTGTTGTGGCACATGCCCAAATCGGGGTTGTGCGAATGAGGGGTTCTGGGCGAATTGTAAAGAGCTCATCTATGATGATGCTTGTTTACTTGGGGATCTTTTGGAACTGGGCCTGAAATCATTGCATTTTGCCAAGAGTTGTTGGTTCCCACTTCTGTGATAGTTAGCAGGGAACCTCCGGTTTCTTCCGGTTGGATGTCATCCCCAAGCTTCGTAGCTTCGCCAAGATGACGTTCCATTGCCGGGTCCCTGGACTGGCAGGTGGGCTCCGCTGGATTTTCGTCAACCTCCAACTAAGACAGTTGCTCAACTTGGTATGGGCGGACCCCCCTTTTGGATGGTATATAAAGTATTTGAGGGGAAAACGTCACCAACCATTTCAGGAATTCCTATTTTGAGAACCCCCGCCCCCAATAAGCCCTCAATCAGGCTTCATCATGGCTTGATTGTTGGGGTCATTTTCTCAAAAGGCATGCAAAAGGGGTACCCTACCATGAAAGCTGGCTGGCCCTTGAGGAACCATGTTTTTCCTCTTGAAGGGACCTGTCAACTCCCATGTGCAGCCCCACCCCATAGAATTGAGGGCCGCGTCTTCGCCTGGTCCTCCACCGGCGCGCTGTTGGCAGAGCTGAGCGGCCACACAGCGCCCATCACGGCGCGGCGAAGGGGGCGAGCCGTACGGCAGCCAGCCCCAAATGCGAAGAAAGGGGTATTTGCCGTGGAAAAACTGAACTAGTTCTGACCAAGAAAAGCATTTACCATGAAAAGTCTGGTTTTCTAGAATATGCTGTCAACCTGAAAAAGGAAGAACAGGCTAAGCCTGACTGAGAAAGGGGTATTTTCTGTGGAAAGTCTGGTGTCCCTAGGAAATGATATCAACATGAATAAGGAAGAACTGGATTTTGCAAACCTGTTGCCAAACATGGACATTTCCAGGACCCCTGGTGGTCCGTTGCCCAACATGTGTCATTCAGAACCCACTTGGTTCAGTCGGGTCCTATGTTGGGTGGGGACGTGGCTGGGTGCATCGCTGTCGTCACCTTTCGCATGGATCCCAGTTGTTCAGTGGCACCTGTCATTTTCCCTTTCCACTAGAATCAATGATTCCAAACAGGGTTTCAATTCTTTTCCAGTTCCTTTTTTGTAGAACCAACACTCTTGTTTTCTCGTTCCCTTTTAACCTCTGCGTTGAAAAGGGGCCCTCACAAAACCACGCTGTTTGGATACAAATCGATGGCACTGGCTTAGATTGGTGTCATTCCATTTGCCAGGCCATCAACATGTTGTTTTTTGGCCACAAGGAAGCCTATCCTCAGTGTCCCATTTGGTTTCCCTTGTGTTTTCCCATATTCGGACCACCCAAAATCCAGAAATCTGGTTCTCAGTTTCCCCTTTGGTTTCCCGTTTGTTTTCCCATTTGATTTCCCATTCGGACCACCCAAACATCTGGCGCCGCAGGTGGTGCGGTGTTTGACGGCCTTCGGCGCTTCGGATCAGCTGGAGGACCCTCAGGCGCTGGAGGCGGCCGGGGAGGGACCAGACCTGGCCACTGCGTCTGTGGAGCCTTGGCGTGGGCGGGGCTCCTTAAAAGATACGTTTTGCAACCATTTGAAACATGGCTTTTTCAACACCAAAAGGGGAAACCACACCTTACAAGGCAATGTTCAGGTGTATAATGTAAGGACCCTTGGCGAGAAGGGGGGAGGTTTTGGGAGGGACGCGTATGGACAGGGTTCCATGTTTTTACTGGGTTGGTACTGGGATAGAGTACCTTAGGCCAATATGCGGACCCAGATCCCAGTACCGTAGTCTTAGGACAGCTATTGGTCTAATTGGTATTTGCACCCAACTTCTTGGTGCTTGGGGCCTTACAAGAAGGTTCCGGCTTGTGAGATTTTGCGTGGCGAGAAGCGATTGGTTTATCGAAAGGCCAAGGGGCAAGGATGCTGCAGTGCGGCTGCTGCCGCAAAATGAAAGGGAAGGTGAGACAAAGTTGTCCACTTCCATGAGAGGAAGGGCAACCAGAAGTCTGCAAAGGGGAGGACTAACCTTTCAATGCGCTGAGAGTATAATATATTCCGTTCTCATATTCTCGCGGTGTTTTTAATTGTTTTAATAATATCTCATGAGCCCTAAGGACGGGACCATCCGCGTGTGGCACACCTCCGCGGGCCTTGCGCTCTACGGGGAAGCCGGCAACAGCTGGTGCCTCTTCATCCTGGAGCTGGGCCACCGGAACCCGGCGCGGACGCGGACATGTCGCGGACGGGTCTGGCCATCTGGGTTTGTCTCTCCTCGGGGACCCTCACCATGGCTTGGCTGGTGCTCAGTAAGGAATGAGGGAATGGCCCTTATACCATTTTTATGCGGTTTCCTTTGAGGGGACCCTCGGGTTCATTCCCTTTTGAACAACCACGAAGGGTTTCGACCACAAAGACGCGCCTATGTTGGTGGAGACAATGGGGGGATTGCCATTTGTACTAACTGGGGAGCTTCATTGACACCAAAATCGCAGGGTTTGCTCCACCTTTTGAGCATACCGCAACCTGCCCATCATGAGGACCCCTTTCAAGGGGGGTATGAAACATGCTCGAGCACCGCATCCAAAGTGCATGAAGGCCGGGCCCCGCCGACCCGTGTCGCAGGTGTCAGACATGGTGCTCTTTTCCTGCGACGAGATCGCTGTGAGCACATGGGACGGCCAGACGCTTCGCTGGAGTTCCGATTTGTTGCGGCTGATTCGAGGGTTTGATGTGGATATGGTCTTGATCGATATACACCGCTGGCTCTTTGCCCGGTATTGATAGACTTGGTTCGAGCTAACGGCTCTCGCCGATTTGAAGGCCACTGTGGGGTTGAGCCTCCGGGTTTTTGACTCTGAATGTGAACTTGGGGCTTGCGTTATCTTGCGTTCGTGCTCCACGAAAGTCGAGGGTTCCTGGCAACAGTGGAACATAGAGGACCCGAGGTCAAGGAGACGCGCCAAGTTTTCGAACCGCCGTCCAAGTCGCCCCTAAGGATCCGTTGGGTGGACTTGACCCGAAGATGCTGCTCCAAGGCAGTGCAGGCCTGCGCTTCGCCTGGTCGATGAGTATGGGGGGCGGACGGAGTGGCCGTTTTGAGGCCCAGTGACGAGAGCGACTGTGGGCTTTTGGGACCTTTGGGTTGCCGCATTCGCGTTCAACCATAGCCGGCGCCAAGCTTTGGGCAGCCCCGCCTGGTGTTCACTGTAGGTATCCAAATTTGTCGTGCGTCCCTTGTTTCTGACTTCGGAGATAACGCAAGCAAAACGGGGCAGGAGGCCTGGTTAGATTGTGTTTGGAGAGAAGCCAAGGGGAACGCCAAGGTTTGTGCCGCCCCCTTCAAGACTGTGAGTGGGGTCATGTCTGCGTAACCAATGGTTTTGTGAGGGCTCATCATCGCAATACTAGGTGTGCGTGATTTTTGAGGCTACCCACCGGGGTCGATCCCAAACGAAGCCAACGCGGAAAGTGGAACCTGTTGGGGTTCGCCTACCTGGAGGCAACCACCCCCGTACCTGGAGGCACGCTAGTGCGCCGTTTGCTTTCTTTTGCCAGATGGTTTGAACTAATAGGGCCGTCTCCGCACTGATTTCTCCAGCCAGGCCTTTCAGCGGCAAGGCTTGCTTTGTATTGGGGTTTCACATTTGTTGACAGAGCAAAAAGCGCACGGCACGATTCGCCCCGTTAGATCTAATTCAGGGATGTGCGCCATCTACAATGTTACCTTCGCCCACGTTGGTTTAGCCGCAAGTCCGTTGTGCCCTTTGGGGTGAGTCCTCGGGCTCGCCCAAAAGCGTCCGGTCCAGCGGCCAAGCCGAGTGTTGATGCGGAGGCGACCCAGGCCCAGGCCCGGGCGCTCTGCAAGTGGCGGAAGAACCAGGAGACCCGTCTTTGGGGCGGACGAGGGCGCCAGGCGGCTATGTTTCATGGTTCCGGAAGGGGCTTCAGTTGTTTTTTCCAAACTGGTGAAGAAAAATCTGGCCTAAGGAGTTCAAAGCTTGGTTTCAAGCGTCAAGCACGACTCTTGCGTTCATGGGCGCCGAGAACGGGGATGACCTGTGGGGGCGGGGGGGGGGAGTGCAGGAGTGGCAGGCCCTCCCGGTTGGTTTTCAAGGGAACCCATCACCACGGACAAGGTTTTTCCCGGAGGACTCGGGAAGCAAATTGATGATGCAGGGTTTGCTTCGGCTAAGTGCGTGGCCTTTGGTGTTGGCATCGCGGCGGAAAAGGTTCGGAGTTGCGAAAGTCTCTCCTAAGCCAGTTGTGTGGTGGCTGGCCAGGGGGGGGTCGGGGAGTCATTACATGTCATTACTTGTTGCACCCCTGCACCAGGAAACTACTAATGTAGGCTTGCTTTTGGCCTCGAGCAGAGCAGCCGTTTCTTTATTTGGGCCCCTTGGCAAGAAGAGTCCCATATTTCGGCAGGAGTGGCAGGTCTTCGTGGGCATGGAGGACGGCACCATCGCTTGCTGGGCCAACTCGAGCGCTTTGCCCTTGGCCGGCCTGACCACCACCTCCATGCATCAAAGGCCGGGCGGTGGCTGGCGTGTCTGGCTGGCGCGGGCGTAATGCAAACCCTCCGCCGTAAAAGCCATAGTGATTATGGGCATTTGGCGCGACCCTTGGCGTTTGCTTGCTCGAAGGGCCAGCTGAAAGGAACCAGCCCAAAGTCAATGACGTTCTAATCAAGCAGGGCAAGTCGCAATGAACAGCCAGCCGGCAGCTAGCAGCTAAAATGAACTAGCCCAACGCCTAACCTGGAACCTGTCGGAAGGTTCCCTTGAGAGGAACATGGCACAAGGGGTGTCCAGTCAGGTTGCGTTGGTAATTCTGAGGGTTGGAAGTTGTCAAACATGTGGCATGGTGCCGAGGGTACGGGCCGCCCTTTAAAAGGGGCTTCCAAAAAGGGGCCCTAATTTTGAGAACCCTTCTGGCGAGTTGGGTGCTCTGAGGCTTAGCTGGCAAGGCCACTTCGACGCCGTGATTGCCCTGAGCACCTGCAAGGAGGGAAGCACAATGTTCGTAGACCTGGTTCGATAGGCAGGGAATCCATTGGAATCACCCGGAACGCTAGTTTTTTTGAAGGGGTCGATGGGCTCATTCCCCAAAAGCCCCTGATGATTCACCAGCGCCAGCAAGTCGCAAATAAGAATCGGAACCTGCAAAATGCGTGATTTCCTTCTGGCTTAACGAAAGATACCCATGTAGTTCTGGGTCACGTAAATTGTTGCTTTCTTGGCTTCACAGGCAAATGGCCATGACTGGTATCAACTTAGATAAGTTGTTTGTTTTCCTCAAGCGAATTCGATGCCGGTCAGTGGTAAATACGTTGGTTTGGATTTCAGGGCTCAGCGGGAGTGGTGCACAATGAAGTGGGAGTGGAAGACCATACGACTTGGGGGTATGTGGCTTGGAGCCTTCAACGTCTTCTGAATATAGTTGGTGATATTTGTTTTCGACGTCAAGGTCGCGATACGGCCCGGCCAAGAAATCGGGCGTGAGCAATTTGGGATATCGGCTGTAGTCGGAAAAACATCCGCTGTCCACACGGAAGCGACAAGAAATTGAGAAATTGCTGCTGGAAGTTGCAACGAGACCGCGCGTCAAACAACAGTTTCGCCGGGTGTGGAATAAGACGTCTTTTTCCCCAGAGAGCTGAAAGCTATAGGGGTTCTAACTTCTAACTTCTAACAAAAAGGGGACGTGATTTGCGAGATTGACGGCTGGGTGCTAGGGAGCGTGCAGATTGGCGATGCTGGCGCAGGTGCTGTTTGGGGGTGCTGTGCTGTTTGAGGTGCTGGGGACGGTGCGGGCGTGCGTTTGTCAAAATTGATGGCAGGGGTTCTAGTTTGGGGTGACTTTGCCTTGGTGGCGGCACAGGCGCATTTTCGGGGCATGCAGTTTGGGGTGCTGGGCGCATTTTTGCGATGGGGGTGCTGTTTGTCGCGCTCTTCGGGGTTAGAGGTGCTGGTATGTGCTGGTGTGCAAGCATTGGCCTGGTTTTTCGCTATCTGGAGTCTATGCTGGTGTAATTATTTTTTGAAACTGAGTGTGTTGACTTGCAGGCTGGAGGTGACATGGAGGAACATGTTGAACTGCAGGGACCCCACGGTTCTCGAAAGGTTTCCCTTGAAGACAGGGAAAGCATGAGCTCAGCGACTTCAAGCCTGCGTTTGACGCGTTGGGTGATCAGAACAGGGCCTGGTGTTATGCCGGCCACGCGCTGAGCAGATGCCGGAGTGTATGACAGACTTCTCTCTCCGCATATTCACTAGTGAAACCCAGGGCTCGACCTAGCAATGAAAGGCGAGCGCCGAAATTCGGAAGCTATTTATTTTCTAGTCCCACTTCCCCAGTCAGGGCCCACAAAGCTCACATCTGGGCCAGTCAAAAGGTCATCCTTGCCTGCTGATTGAGAGGCTCCCCTTATAAAGCATGTGCCTTTTGGATGTATCCTTGGTCAACGTCTGAGACCATCTGACATCTTTACCCTTGACTAAAAAGACAAACACAGACAAAATGTGAGACATCCCGGGTTTTTGGTATCAGAGAAACGATGTGACAAATCCCAGGTTTCGGTTTGACTGTTGACCAATCCCTCGAATCGGGCTCATTTCTCAGGACTGGGTGGTGAGCCTAGCGGAGGACAAGCTGGTGCGGCTCTGGGAGGCACCGGCTCCCGGTTGCAGTCGCACCGTCGCACCTGAACTGACGGGAAGCCCGTGGGTATGTTGCGAGATGAACAAATCCCCAAGCGAAGTCGTGGAGATGACCCATGGAACAGAATGGCGAGTTTCCCACGACCCGGTGGGAAATCTGTGAGAAACCCGTGGGCCCGTGGGGAACAACTGCGGCTGGGCAAAGAGCGATTCCAGGCAACGAGGCCTTGGTTTGAATTTGAAAGGGGGGTTGAAGCAAGCTGCCTGAGTTGCAGCCCAACAGGCCATCACCTTGTATGCCTATATTCTTCCCAGATAGACTGACAGGTTTTGTTTAATCCCTAGGGTAGCTGAGGGGCTTGGTCCATTTCCTAACCAGGGGCCCGGTTAGAACAGGGCCCCTTAAAGGCACCAGCTTTGGACAGTGAACAAATCAGCTTTCTCAAGCTGATTCAGAGGATTCCCAAGAAAAATCAGATTGTGTTTAGATGCATCCTAGAAGTGGCGCAGTGACAAAGTAGTGATAGAAATGGCCCCTCGACAAGCGTAACGAGGCTCGAAAGTCAATTTGGTCAGAAAGTGTTCCCACTGAAATACACGCCACAAGGTCTTCGTTTTGGGCACCCCAGAGAAGGATTTCGGTTTTCCGTGTGGTGCTCCTTGAAACCAACTCGAAATGGGCAATTCACGAGGCTTAGCACTGACTAGTGGCATCACAACTTGCATTTGGTATCAAACCCCACCATTCCAAGTACTTTTACCTCACCCTCACAAAGCTCCACACCCACATAACAGTTTCTCAAAATGGACCCCCCCCCCTTGGGCTGATACTGATATGAAGGGCGGCCAAAAGGAAATCACTTGTTTTTCGCCAACGACAGCGGGGAGGGGCTAGGCAGGTATCGACGTGGGGGGCTGAGGCCAGCAGCGGCAAGCTCTTGGCGGACCTTTGGGGCCATGGGGCCGGGCCACTGCACGCCTGTGTGTCCAAGGAGTCGAAAAGCCGCGCGGAGAAAGGGTGGAAGCCTCCAAACGGTGGCAGTGATTTGGAGGGCCCCCTTGACAAACCAGTTGAAGGGGATCTTTGGCGCGTTTTGCCAAGGGATGTTAGGACTTTGACTTTTTGCCAACCCTTGGGTTTCCATTAAGCCACTAAAAGTTAAACCTTCAGCAGGTGAGCAGAAAGCAACCGAGAAATGGTGGCTGGTGGTGGTGGTGGGGAGGGTTTTGGGTTTGCAAAGCCGTCATTCCTGGGGCCCTTCGTGGTTGTTCCGATTGGCACCACTCCATTTTGAACAGCCTTGCCCCTTTGAATGGGAAACAACAGAAGCTGTTTAGGCAACAAGAGTCTAAACGGAAAGGGCACAGTGGTGGCTTGGGCGGCCTTAAGCAAAGGGTTGGCCCGACGCTGGGTGGGCAACATGTCAGTGTACGTCAGAACAAGTTGGAGGCTCCTCCAAAGTGGAACGCCGAAATCCAAACAAAACAACATCGCGAAAGCTGTCACCTGTCTTCCGCGCAAGCCAACGTCACTTCCACATTGCTTCTAGTTGCCACCGTGGCAGGTAACCAGGCATTTGTACCTCCAGGGTTTACATGATGGTTTTCCCTGGTTATCTAATATAGTGCTAACTGGAAGCACCTGGTTTTGTTGATGGCCTTTTGACCTTGTGCCAAGTCCAGTTGGATTTTCTGGCAGTTTAACTGGGAACCAACATGAAACAACTCATTTGAAACAGTTCCCTCGAAGGAATCAACCGGCTGCACATGGGCAAGTTATGGCGACCTCACCATAGGCGTCAGTTATCTACGAATTGCGAACGTTCAGCCATAGTGCGTCTCATCAAGCAGTGAGCAATTTGTGGGAACGTGGTGCCCAGACCCACCGTGGGCACTTCTTTGTATGCTTTGCCCCGAATTTGCCTTGACAACACCAGGGTTGTGCCGCGCCAAGCATCCGTCTAGAGCCTGGGGCCGAAGCCGAGGCACTTTTGTTTGTATTTTTGGGAGCAGATGATGGTGCAACTGGTGGGCATCTCTTGGTCTTTGACATCCAGGGCAGTCACCCAGCGGAGCTGTGAGCAATGGGAGCCGATCAAAAGGGTGCAGCCAGGGGATCTGGATCACAGAAGCACCACCCTAGGAATCTGAGGGCAGTGAACCTTTACTTGGCATTGGCAGCACAGGCCACCCGACCGGAGATGCCCCATTCAAGACTGAAATTTGGCGGGAAACAGCGGTGTTTCTCGGGGCTTGGTTTTTGTTGACCCAACTTTTCCCAAAAAAAACTCCTTGGGGGTCAGCCCACCTCCGTCTCCCATCCCCACGCCCCCGCAATACGTCAGGAGCATAGGTGTCCTTTTCGGTTGTTTTGGTAAAGCACAAAATAGATGGCGATTCCTGGTTTCCCTGGTGGTTTTCGCTCATCTACCAGGGATATCCATCTATTTCCCCTAAAAGGACGCCGTCCCTCCCACGCCCCCCACGCCCCCCACGCCCCCCACGCCGGCAACACGTCCCAGGAGTCGCTGCTGTGGACCTGCGCCCGGGACCACACGGTGCGCAGCTGGGACCTGGCGGAGCTGCGACGGCAGCTCCGCGAGCTGCCGCTCTGATCCGAGACGCCGATGACGTCGGACGTGGGTGGGTGGCGTTTTTGGGCCGGGGGCGAAGCGGGGGGATTCGTCGGGGTTTGGGTCAAAAAATGGTACCCAAAATGGAGCCCTGGTAAATGAACACATGGACTCTAGTGGTTTAATTTTGACCCACGCCCATCTGGACCGGGGGTCCCGAAAGCAAAACTATGTGAGTTTTTGTGTTTTTTTTTTGGGGGGGGGGTGGGCGGAATATGGAACGGCGTCAGGCGTTGTTGTTTTTAAGCTGAAACCAAAACTATGTTATGGTGTGGGGTAGGTTAGGGTAGGTTAAATGTGGAGCAGAGTCAGACAACGACAGTTTCTGTGTACCCCAGATGTGTGCCAAAAGGCCCAGCAAGGGTATGTCAATGTGGTCAAGGGCTGTTTTCTATGAGTGTGCCTCGAAGCACCAAAGGCATTGTGGCAGCATTTTAGTCAAGGGCAAAGATGTGTAATATGCTCCCAAACGTCGCCCCAACATTTATCTAGCCTTGCCCCGAAGAGAAGCAAATAACGACTACTGATGGAATTCCAGCCATGACCCACGCAAGGGATGAGGAAAGGCGCAAGCATTGGACGCCTTGCCGCCTTTGGCCAGTGGACTCGGCACAAGGGGCCCTTGTGGCATAGCCCCCGGGGCTCGTTTTTGGTTGAAAGGGCCCCTCAGAGGATACCCTCGAGCCAGTAATAGCAGGTGGCGGAAGGAATGAGCCTGCCCTGGGCCCCCCAATCAAGGCAAAAGGGGAGGGACCCCCAAAAGGTGTAGACATAAATCGCTTCCCGGCGGGTCAATGCTAGTGGGAACCTTGATGTACCGTATTTTCGTGGGCACACGGGTAAAAGGGGGGGATGTTTTTTTCCAGTTGCGGGGTGGCGATGAAGAACGGCTCTCCATTATACTTGCTAGCATGTCAAGTAGCCAACAAAGAATCATGAAACCAAAGCTGAACGAGGCTTGCAAGCCCCGAATTCCTGCAGCCACAGCCCGCGAGAGCCCTTCTCATGTGCTTACACGGGCTCGTTTTTACTTAGGGCCTGGAGGACAGCTTACTGGAAACCGGGGGGCGGAACGGCGGAACCCCTCTGCCGCTAGGCGGACTCAGATTGAACCAATTCAAAAGCAACATGCTGTCACGCACTGTTGGATGGACGAGCTCCAGCACCAGTGGGTATGCAGTTTATCCCAAAGTTCATAGGGTTTCATCCATCCCAACTGGTGTGAAGCGTATGTTGTCTATGCACAGTAGGTCAGCCTAACCCTGCTTGTTCCTTAGGCAGGCGATGGAGATTTGCGACAAGCAGTCCTTCACGTGCTCCACTGCGGATTCGGAACGATTCGAGCGACGTGTGTCTGGGGCTCGAAAAGTTCGCTGATTGCAGGAAGGCTTTATAGAGGAAGCTCCCGCTCTGGGGTGACTGTTATTCGCTTTGCGGCTTGGGTGCCAGGATTCGGTTTGCATGTATTGGGCATCCATAAGAGCACACGTGATTTCCCAATTGTGGCATTGCTAGTGTGTAATTTACCATCAGGAGCCTCACACTCACCAGTTGCATTGGCAAAATCCCAGCTGGCCTCTGAAGTTGGTGTGTGGGGTGCGGACGTGACGGTGCCCTTTTTCCTTTTCCGCACTGGAATCTTGGAGCACATGTGGCACGTGTTTTGGACGCAGGAGCTCAATTCCCGCCCAGTCTAGGCTGACGTTTCCAAAGGTCCTTTCATCTGGATGAACGCCATAGGCTTTCAACTCAGAAATGATTCGCAAACTTGGGGGGGCTGCGGGCAATACCAACTAAGAGGACTTGTGGAAAAGGGAGGTTACTGTCGGTTTGGTTCATTCAAAGAAACCATCATGCACCAATGGTTAGCTCGTCTTGCCCGCGCCAGCTTCCAGTTTGCCAGTCTCAAGCTTACTTTGTTGCCCAATTTTGGACCCACTTGAAGGGCGGCACTAAATCAGCCAACCCGTGACTGGTGGATTATAATGCTTTTGATCCCCTGGTTCTTGGGTGAAAGCCTAACCTCCAAACCTAGAGTGAAGCTGGCTAAATTTCACGAGGGTCCAACAAAATCAGGGCAACCCATGTTGGGGTTGCCCTATTTTGACCCACAGCTAAATTGGCTTTCGTTGCCAACCCATCAGGCTTCTGGTCATATTTCGCAAAGGTTTGGCTGTCTCATGGCCAGTCACGTCAGGTACGAAGTCACGTTTTCCCGGCTCACGGCAAAGCAGCTGAAGAAGATGCAAGTCGGCGGCAAGTCGCCTAAGCGCAAGGGCCGGCGCTGACACGCTGAGGGAGCTTGAGGTATGTGTGTTTCTTGGATACTTCCATTTTCCCCCCCATTGTGAGACGCACCCATCATGCTCCGACAACGAGCCCCACAAGAAAATGGTTGCATCTCGAGACACAACCGTACGCGAGCAAGCCGCTGAGGGAGCCATAGGAGGCGTGTGCCGGCGCTGTACATAGGTCTGGCGGCTTTGGGCTCGAAGCAGAAACACCACAAGTCTATAGGTTTCTCGGTCATGACGCGGGAGGAAACCACACTCCAGTGCTTGAGTGGCTGATTTTTGCGCGAAACATTTGTTGACCAGGCATATCAAATTCAGCGCGAAGGGGGGGGAAATGTCTTTTATCGGGCGATTGAAACTACATCATGTTTTGCAATCTCTTGCATGCCATCCACAATTGGGGACAAACATGTATTGTTCCAGGAACAAGTTGTCTCGATCAATATTGATGCGGACAAAATCAATACCGAAGGGAAAAGATGGGAATGATCAAAGATTGAAGGGATGGATAGAATTCTGAACGATATGGGGTAGATGGTAACGAGAACACATTGAAGGGAAGAGATTGGCATGATGAGGTGTTTAAGGAAAGAGATGGCAATGATAAAACATTGAAGGGAAGAGGTAGGAATTTTCAAGTAAAACATTGAAGGGAAGACATGGTAATGCATGGATCCAGATGGATATGATAGAGCATTGAAGGGAAGAGATGGGAATAACGACAAATTGAAGGCACAAGATGGCAATGATGAAGTACTGGAGGGAAGAGATGTGAACGAAGGGAAGAGATGGGAGTATGAGATAGAAGCTTGAGATATTGGAGGGAAGGCATGTTAAGGAGAGAGATGGGAATGATCAAGCATTGATGGGGAGACATGGGAATGATAAACACTTTGAAAGGAAGAGACGGGCATGAAACAATATTGAAGGGAAGAGAGGAGATCGGAATGAACAAAAAAATAGAGAAGGGAAGAGATGGGAATGATAACGCATTGAAGAGAAGAGATGGTATTGACAACACGGGGAATGATGAAGTATGGTAGGGAAGATATGGGAATGATACCACATAAAACTGAAGAGATTGGATGATAATACATTAAAGGGAAGATATGGGAATGATAAAGTTGTGAGAAGGAAGAGGAATGAAGAAGGAAAGAAAGAAGCATGAAAAGAAGGACAGAAGGAAACACAAAAAATAAACATGAAAAGACAGAAATGAAAAAGAAAGGAAACCATGAACAATGACAACGAGCAAGAAGAGAAAAGGACAACAGTACAAGAAATATAAAGGTCAGTATAGCTCTTACTTATTATTATTTTTTATTTTGCTCCCATCTGAATCGCCGGCTGTGCATGTAAGATATTCAAGGGAAGAGATGGAATGATAAGATTTTGAAGGACATATATTGGAATAAACAACGTCTGGACTGTTTAGGTGCGGTAGTTTCCGGGCTTTCGACTTGCAAGTTTGCTTTAAACGTTTCAATTCAAGGCGCTTGCCTATTGGTACTTCCGTCCATTGAAGAATTCCGTTCATTGAACAGTTCTAGCATTCCGGGATCAGGAGTCATGAGGCGGCCTGAAATTCATGGGCGGAGCTCCGCGAATACCGCCGGGGTCCCCGCCAGAAGAAGGACGCGAGACACCACGCCAAAATGGCCGCCTGCAAACGAGCGGCAAAAGCGAGTAAGTGAGGCCATGAAGCAGTTGGTTCACGGCTTCTTCGATTCCCCTCTTGGTGGTAGGCACATCCCTCGTTTGGACCGAGTCAAAGTGAAGTTCCTTTCAGTGGGGTGATGGGCCAAGGGGGAAGCAAAGGGAGCCCTGCAATTCTCGGCGCCAGGCTTCCGTTTCCCGAAGGTCGCGTGCTTTCTCATGTTGCTGGCTGGTTGTACCGGAAAGTGCGCCGGGCAGCAAGCATGACATTGTCACCACGTTTTTGTCCGAAGGGTCATGGCCGGAAAACGCGATTCCACCTGAAAGGTGGCCCCGGAAGTTAGCAGACCTCACCTTTTGGCTGAATAAACCGTTTTTTCCTGGCGAGGCGTGGTTGTGCAGGGGAGTCAAAGGTTGTAGGCGGCCTCTGGATGCCTCCAGGGAATTGCTGATCAATGAAGTCAGTGAGTCCAAACAAAAAAGCGGGCGTTGATTCAACGCGTGTGTTTTGGATAGTTCGACATTTGTTGTTTCTGTATCAAGGAAGCTGTCATGTAAACCACCCAATGCGTATCCTCGAAGGAAGACACACCCACTGGGTGTCCGACTTTACCCCGCGGATTGCTTTGTCAACACGGCCCCGGTGATGCCCGTGTTTGAAGTGCACAGTGGGCAAGAGGAGTGCCAGAATTATCCAAGTTTCCCTCTTTTTGGTGATTCAATCATCACCTTGTGGTCCGATTCAAAGTGGATAGCGAGGTTCCTTGGGGTGAAGTGGGGAAACATTTGGAATTCTGTGGCGCCGCTCAGCTTGCTCGGGGGATTCCTTTCTGCACAGTTTTCGAAGTATACGGGTGTGCTGATCGGACACTGGCGAGTGATAGTAATGTGCAGAAATCGAACGAACAGGTTGCAGGCTTGCATATTCTCATCGGCTCCTACAGGCAGTTGGTTTCTAATTGATGTTGCACAAGATACTGACAACAACCCAAACGAGCACGCCTATTTAGAGACAGATCTGTTTTGTTTTGCCTTGAAACGTTCAAATGTTGGGGTTAGTTTCCACCCAAATGGGCCTAAACCCAGTGAAGAGCGGCCAGTGAACATGTGTTGGAATGCCTGGCCAGATTTTCTCCATTATTGTCTTGGAAGTGGATGTATTTCTGATGCGTCCTGCGCTGCTTGCCCTTTTTCCTACCCTGAAATTGTATTGAGATGAAGGGCGCTGCAAGCGATAATAGGCAAAGGATAAGCAGCAGGGGCCACCGCAACCTGACCACGATGCCCGCAGCCATTCTCACTCGAGGTGAAGGTGGCATCAAGGAGAACGGCCCAAGGGCTCACCCTGTGACGCACAAGCTGAGGAAAGGAGTAGCCAGCACCAAGCCACAGAAAAACGAATTCATCGCCCGCCTTGCGGAGATGGCTTTCCGGCGGCTTGGGCTGCCGTTGCGGGGCGAGACCGCTGGTTCTGCGCCGGTGCGGCCGAAGATCATCCAAGACGAGGCCAAGAAGGCCCGTGGGCGAGCACGTTCTCAACTTTTCGGGGCGCGCTGAAGCCCGCCCTTTCTAGAAATGGCCCATTTTATGGCGAGCCCTTCGGCCTGCAATGAGCTTACCATGCTAGGTTTTTTGGGGGCCCTGACGTGTGTTGCAGGAATTGGATCTCATCCCCCAGCGGAGTGCAGACCCCCGAAATGCGAAACCGGGGGCCCTTGTCTGGGCCTCGAGGCCAACGGCGGGATCAGCGAGGCGCCTGCGAAAGCCAAGCTGGTGGTCGCATCCTCCGCGGCCAAACGGGCCGCCAGGCCCTTGCTGCGGCCGCGGCAGGAGGTGGATGAGACTTGGCAAGCCTGGTACCACTGGTAAGGGCCGGAAGAAGCACCAAAAACTGGGGCTTGAGATAGATCCAAACAAAGTCATGACCCCAGGAAGCCACGCGGACACTCTTTGTCTGTGTTTCGATATTGGAAATCTCTCGACTTTGGTAGCAATATGCTAACGTTGTTATGCCATGGTCATGACTTGGTTTGCTTGTATGGCATCCCAACCCGCCATTCTAATGGTTTAATGCGCTTTATCTTATTTGGTTCCTTTAACTTAAGCGGCTAATTCACGATCTTCCCTCATGGTCATGACTTAGTTTGGGTCAGTAGTGCCCCACGGACCCACGCTAATTGGTTGGGCCTTTGTATAGTGTATACTGGCTTTGGTTTAACCCTGGTGGTTGAGACTGGTTAAGTGGTCAGCGGCCCATTCTTTGGGTCCAAATCCTCACTTTGAGACAGACCTAAATGACCTAAATGACCACACTTCGCCTTTGTTTCGATAAAAACAAAGGCACGTGGCTTCTTGCAAATGCCGATTTCCCAGGCAAAAAGTGAAGAACCTTTGACCCAGGAGACCGGGCCGGGCCGGGGACGAAACCTACTGAGCTCGGTGATGGTGCACCTGAGCTCGGCGAGAGATCGGCTACAAGCAGATCAAAGCGCGGGGGCCCCAGCTGGGGAAGGCACCTGTGGAGGGCTGCAAGATCAGGTTTCCTCTTCTAGGTCCCCCAGTAGTCCTTTTTTGGGGGAGGGTTCCCCTACTAAAATAGACTACAGGAAAAAGGGTACCCTTATTCTAACCTCTCTACTGGAGGACCTAGTCTTAGAGGGACCCTCTAGGAGGTTCTATGTTCGTGAGAGGGAGGCCCATCTCCCACGTTGCCATGGCACCTGACAAGGGTTGTTTTTCGAGCGGACAATGTCTTCCGAAAAGTGTAGCCCTTCCCTCCATTCAGGTTGCCACCGGCAAACCCTGGCTGGTTCACTGACAAAGCAGGGGAAAGGTGCAAGCTTCACTCTGGAGGTAAGGGCATACGGATCTCTTTCCCTTTGGGTGTTTGAAAGCCTTGCAGAATCTGAGGAGGCCAAGGGTGTGGTCAAGACCATCGTCAAGCCGCGGCTGCGGAAGCAGCTCATCGCGCGAAGGCGTGTGAGTGAGAAAGAGAAGCCAGCGCAAGCGCGGGAGGAAGATAGGCGAGACAAGCTTTTGGAAGCCAGAATCGCGGAGCACTACTCCCACATGATGCAGTTTATTCGGACCAAGACGGAGCCCATCCTCTTTTACCTGCCTGCGAAGCACAACCCTGAGACGCAGAAGTGCTTACAGGAGAGAAACTCTGTCACCCTTGGTTTCCTGTTGAGTTCTTGTGATGGCCTCAGAATTGAAAGAGGGATAGCTGGATAGCCGTCCCTTTACATAAACGCAGGATGTCGAGCCAGAAAGTGCTGATGTCTTATAATTCGGGTGTGGCTGCAGTTTGGTCTTCTGAAGCTCGCTGTTGCTTAAGCCAATTGGGTGCCCCTTGCAAGCCACCAACCCACACGTAGTTGGAAGGTGGTACTTGTTTAGGCGTATGGCCAGTCGGAAGCCACGAGGCCAACACTTTCAGCCAAGCCAAGGTGTATCATGCGGACTTGTGAATGCAGTGCATCTAGGACCTGCAGGAGCCCAGGCCTCTGCCCAACTGCCCGGAAGGCGCTTCGCCGAGTTGGCATTTTTATCCATGGCCAGGCCAAGTGGAAAGAGCTTCCCGTGAGGTTCAGAGTCCCTACCCCGAGAAGGCCCCAATCTGTTTGAATGTTTGGGGCCGAGTTCCTGAACATGCAAATGAATGCAAATGACAAAAATTTTATGGCTGCCTGAAAAAGGGGCCTTTCGAAGATGGTGGTGGCGGTGGCGGTGGTCGTGGCCGATTTCTGGGGCTTCCCAACGCAAGGAGACCCAGGAGACCATCCAGAGAAAGATCCAGGACTTGTCCGCGCACCTCGCAGGCGCAGGCGCAGAGGAAGTCGAGGAGGAGGAAGAGGAGAGCCAAGATCCAGGCGTGGATTTCTGCGCGCCTTACCTTCGAAGTGCTTCCTTAGTAGGTACCCTCCCACCAAGTAACATGGAAACTGACAGCGGAAGGGGGTACTAATATATTGTCGCTACTGCCCTATAGTGAGACGAGAGTTGGTTTTAAAGCAGCGCAATCCCATTCTAATTATTTAGACCCCAGTAGGTCAGGTGACTCCCAGTTGGTAGTTTGGATTGGTGGCGATTTGATGCGCTGGTTGTTAGGGAAAAGGGAACCCCTCCAAATCACCGATGCAAAACCACCAATTAGAGGGAAGCTGAGTAGATCTTCCGGGATTGTCTCTAAATAGGGGGGGGCAAAATGGATGTTTCCCAGTTTGTTTCCCTTAGTCTGACTCCCAAAAAATGGTTCCCTCAAGTACAGGACACACCCTCCTAGCAGCGGTGAGCCGCAAGCAATGCCCTTTGGCCAGGCCCGAAAGTCAAGCGCCGGGCAGCACTGACGCCCGCGAAACCGTGAGCTTTGTGCAGTCGGGGCCAGGGATGGCAAACACTGGGTCAACGATTGAACACATCTGAGTTTGTGTTTTTCAAGGGACCTTTTTAAGGTTGGTTGAGAGGGACGCCAAGTGGAACATCTTGAGGGTACATATTACATATATATATATATGTATCTTCGCCCTTGACTCAAATGATAGCAACAAAGGTTCAAATCCTACGGTGGATGAGCAGATTCTGCACCAGTTGGGATGGATGAACCCTATGAATACTGGGGGAAAACACCTACTAAAGGGCGCAGGATTTTGTCCATCCACAATAATGAACCTATCCCAGATGAATGAGCCAAGCAACACGACGTTTCTTCAAAAGCCCCAAGCTCATCGAGACTCATCACGTGGATTGGTTCGTAAGGCTCATTTACGCCGCCTTCTTAATCACAAAGTGGGATGATCAAATCATCGCCATGCTGATTGTTGGAGTGTTTGGCGTGTTTGTGCTCAATCTGGGCCCGCGGAATGGTTGGGACTAGGGTATTATGGCATCTACATCTGCAGTAGATGCTTGCAAGTTGCGATGTATGGATAAGCTTGCGACGGGAAAAATGTGCGCGTTGGCCGCCGTCAGTCGTGCCTTCTTGCGTCACTCGGCAATTCCCTAGTGACAGAGGATTCTTAATTAGAAGCAAGACCCATCTTGGAGGCTCAGGAGTTTTATCTTTTTAAAGGGAAGCCATCAAACAACGAAGTGGTTTCCATTCAGTTTCTATTTAAAAGAAGAACCCCAAAAGGGTATGAAACAAGACACGCCCCTACTCTTTTTGTTCTTCGCAAATACCAGATGTGAGACAAACCCAAGGAGGTGAAGACACCATCTCCATCCAAGGGTTGGCCATTTCAGCTTTCCGATGATGAGGGGGGTCCGCAAAACAGACACGGGGCGTCTGCAAGTGGAAATCATCCACAGAGTTGCCCAGTTGCAGACAACACCCAATTGTTTTAAAGATGTTTCGGTTTGAAAGTGACGCAAGGGCAAGCCCAAGATCTTGCGGTTTGGATGTCCGCGCGCCAGCGTTCTGCGGCTTTGGGGGGGAACTGTAAGACAGCTACTCCTTCCCTATGACTGGAACGACAATAGAATACAATGGAATGTACCTCTTCCAACCTATTCCAATCATGGAGTGATTCATTTGACCCCATCTTGGCAGGCGACTGTCTTCGGGCGGCGCTCTTGTCCCAGCGCCAGAAAAAGGTGTCCGAAAAGTGCAGACCACGGGTCGGGCGCAGGCAAGTTATTGCACTTCCATGTTTGGGGGGAGGGTAGACCTGGTCCTAAATATTATTTCGCGCTTTACCCGCCACGCATACACAAGCAACTGCCTCAACAGATGAGATGGCCATGCCTGGCGATTGAAGGTGTGGTGGGACTTGATATCAGTCCTTCTTGATTGTTTAGCCTCATTTCAGCATTCGCTTGCCATGGGTGACCCGGACCCTTGCTAAAAGTTGGATGTCCGAATCATTCCGCCATGATCCGCCAGTTCACTTTGCAAGGGTGCATGGAATGCGGGTAAGCCCCCCCCATATCTATGAACATGTGCGACTCGCGTCAAAGTCAGGAGTTGCCTGTTTGGTTGAACCGGTTGCTCACCAAACACGTCTCAAGGCGGCTCCATCGGCGCGTTTCCGAGCGGATGGGAGCGCCATGGCTGCCCTGGCGCCGCCGCATCCGAAGCCCCGCTGGGCAGACCTGGTGGATTCCTCCCAGGAGGACTCGCCTTGCAGACCTTTGCCTGGGTGGAATAGACAAGTGGGTGTGGGTCAAAATTAAGCCACCAGAGGGGACAGCAGGTTTTGTCTTTGGTTCCATTTACCAGGGTTTCATTTTGGGTACCTATTTTTGACCCACAGCCAGGTGGCAGGGTCTTTTTTGCCCCGCAGGGTATGTTTTTGAACCATTCCCAAAAAGGACAGGCTGTTTCAATGGATGAATGGTGGGTGTGGCTCAATTTCAAGAGCGAGGGTTTCCCAGGTTTTCGTCTTTGGTTTGGGTCATTAGTCAAATAGGAACTTCATGAATTGGGGGGGGGACATCATGGAGGTTCGTTTCAGAAGGTTTAAGGTTCTCTTATTTGGTCTGTGAATTGTGTGATTTGCCAATTTGTTTTGACTACCCCAAGGTACAGGTTCCCTGTGTTTAAGAAGGAAATCGACCACCCCTGCGTCTATGCCTTGGGGTGGTAGAAATCTGCGTGCAAAAGAATTTGTTGCGAGTTCCCAACAAAAAGAAACGACACATTTCACACATAGAGAAGTGTTGCAAGGGACCGGTTCCTCGGGACCCGTTTCTGGCCGGAAGCCAAGTCCGGTCTCCATTTTGGGTCCCCGGAAAAAGTAGCGGCTCACTCCAATCTGGGCAAATAGAACAGAACTTGGAGGGGCTTGTCCCAAAACAGGCGGAACGGCCCCATGGATGTTTGCCTGGCTTCCCTTTAAAACAAGACAGGCTACCCTTAGGAAGACACCCCCACATTGCAAAGTGGCAACCACGAAGCCGGCGAACATATGAAAAAAGAGCGGCAGGGGGTAGAGCGGGGGGAGCTTCAGTGCAGGAGGAACATCGTTAAACAAAAGAAAGAAACACACACACACAGACACCTTTGTGACATTTGCTTTCTCCCCACATCCCCCTTTGACATTCGTTTCGTTGCGACTGGTTTCTGTTTGGGGAGTGCACCAATGCGCCTTCCACCAACATGACCCACAGAGTGACATGGGGGTGAGTCTTCTTCTGGTTGCCCGTGATGTCCAGTTAGGTCCTGGACAACCGCTTTCCTCAAAGGAACGGAGCCTTGGCTAGGTTCCATATTGCACCAGGCTTAAAATTTCCCCTTGATGTTTGCAAGTAAAGGGGATGACCAAACCCAAATGAGGGAATTCTCTGTTTTCACCCACCTGTGGGAGGACAAGTGTTCTTTTGATAGACAGGTTGTAGCAAACGGGGTCCGATCGCTTGCACCAAAGCGCAGCCATGCGTGTAGCATCCGAAAGGATCCCATTTGTTGGAACCCAAGTCAGCCACTCAGCGGGTCACCGCTTTTTCCTTTTTCAGGAAGGGCTCCAAACTCCCCTTTGAACATCAACCAACCCCAAAAGGGTTCCCCGACCAAGAACAAGCAACCAAACCAACAAAAACCAGGCAACATCACCAAACCGACCTGAACCCAACCTTCAACCAACCAACAAAGCACGCAAGCGGGTGCCCAACCAAACCGGGCCCCCCAACTGGCGAGGAGGTGGCGGAGCTGAACCCGTTGCCGTCGCCGCCGTTACGCCAAAACTCGTTTCAAGACTCCCAGGCGGGCATTGATATGTTGAAACATTTGAAACCGGGTTCTGGGGGTTCTCCTCCAAAATGAATCTTTATCTTGTAGACTAAGTATGGACGAGAGTCGGACGATATCGCCTTTTTTGATGTACCCCCACATGTGAGCCAAGGGGAATCCAGCACTTTGGTGTCACCAGGGGCCATTTGCAAGCATGTGGGTATGTCGCAAAAGTCTGAAATTTGGACCCAACATGGTATGCGGTTTTCCCCTACCTTGAAATGCGTTGTCAAAATGTCCCCCCTTTAACAAACTTTGAACAACCGCTAGCTGGTGGGTGGAAGCCAAGGAGCCGATCACAGTTCCAGAGCTAGGAGTAAAGACACCTTGAAATGGGCATCAGTTATTCGCTTTGTTTTTGAGGTTTGAAGCACATGGACCAAGTGTAGGCCTGTTTTGATGGAAACCCACCGGTTGCGAACAAAATCAGAATCGGTGCGTTTGAGGTTATTCTTCCCATGCTAGGCCTCGCAGCAGGCTTCGCAGCAGGCCTCGCAGACCAGCATTTGCGAGCTGCTGCAGAATCTGGGCAAAGGAAGCTGGGGGGTCCGGTCGAAGGTGTGCCCCTGGCTCGGTTCCCAGCCGTCTCCTGAAGACTAAAAGTCTTCCAGTTAAACTTTCTGCAGGGGATCTGAAAACAGACAGCCCAGCTGGAATGGGAACATAAGCCAGGTCCGGCCCTGCGGCCCGCGGCCGCGAGCCATGAGCCCCTCCCCCCGCTCACCCCCCTCGGGTGGTACAGCTTGGCTTGGACATGGTCCCAAAAGGCTTGTGTGGGGGGTCGGGGCTGGGCAATGTGCAGTCAAAGCCCGGGTAGATGATAGGGATAGTTTTTAGCCTAAGGTGCGGATATTCGCTCTTTTTACTCTTTACCGCGGTTTTGGGTCCATTTTCATACCAGGTGTTGGGATGAGTCACTTGTGTGCTAGAAAATGTTAGGCCCCCTAGGATGCCGGTGTCAGGGGTTTCCGTAGATCAAGCCATTCGTAGACACATGTCCCTCCGAAACTGGCGTTTGAACTGCGTGTGGCTTCGCGTTGAGCCAAGCGCAACAAGTCGACCAAGCCAAAGTTGGTACAGGGTCCATCCCATCGGAAAAATATGCAGCTGCCCCTGTGAAAACCTAGATTTCTTTTCGGAGGCATGCCAGACTGTTCCACAGGAAAAGGATAGCCCCCCTCTGTTTTGAAGTAAAGCGTGCCAATTGTTTTTACATGCGGCGTTCCATGGCTCTTGTTCACCGGGAGCCTGCATTTGCTGCAGAGCTCCAAGGTTTGCCGAGGCTAGTGTGCCAAAGCCATGGTTGTTGTGCTAGCACGTTTTATCCACGGGAGTGGTTCTCCAACCCGCCAAATCGAAGTGAGCAGCTGTACGTTCATTGATTGTTTCGGATTCCGGCAGAATGGTCCAGGAAAGCAGTTGGCAACAAACCATGTGGGAACATCTGCAAGTTGGCTTGTTTGTTTGCGGTTTCCGAGGGCCCTGCAATTATCCTCTTGGGAAAGAGAACGCCATGTTCGGCGGTTTTGTGCCACTCCTGACCGAGCCGACCCTTTTGAATGTTCATGGCTTCCTTTCAAGCATCGTCGCCAAAACGTCCTGTTTCCTGAGAAGCTCCGGGCGCTTCCATGTTTTTGGGAGGGCACTTGCAAAGCTTGTCAACCGCTCGACGCGACCAGAAATGAGGTTTGGATCCCCCCACAGAACCAAAGAGCACTTTGCAAGGGGCCTGAAGGGTGGTTAGTGGTTTGGTGTGCTTTGGTGATTTGGGCTCCCGTTTTGGCCGCCTTCCTGAGGAACAAGGCGGACCTCTCGGCCCTGTCACAGGATCTGGGCCCGGCCTCGCCTTTGGCGCAGATTCCAGAGGCGGAGGCCTGAGCGCCCGGTCCCCCCCCCCCGCTCTTGGACTGGACGCCAACCCCGTTTTTAGCAGTGAAAGCGGGGGCCAAAGGTCGAGAGGTTTAGGCAGCCAGACAGACAGCAAACAAGATCAAGCAAACTGCAGCAAGCAAGCCAAACGTTGCAAACACACCAAGCAAACACACGCGCACTCTCCTACACACGCCCGGCCTAAAAGCTACGTGCTGCGGGTCTTGGGATTTAGAAGCTTCCAAAAGTGCTGTCAGCTGCGGTTGGAAGCGGAATCGAAACGCCGCTATCTGCCGCCTTCCAAATTAAAACACTTGTTGAAGGTTAAGCTGGAAGCACTACATGCTGCGTCCCATTTGGTTTTGAATCGGCAGACATAGCACACAGTTGTTTGTTTGTTTGTTTGTTTGTTTGTTTGTTTGTTTGTTTGTTTGGTTGGTTGGTTGTTTGTTTGTTTGTTTGTTTGTTTGTGTGTGTGTGTGTAAGTGTGTGTGTAAGTGTGTGTGTGTGTGTAAGTGTGTGTGTGTGTAAGTGTGTGTGTGTGTGTAAGTGTGTGTGTGTGTGTGTGTGTAAGTGTGTGTGTGTGTGTAAGTGTGTGTGTGTAAGTGTGTGTGTGTGTGTGTGTGTGTGTGTGTGTGTGTGTGTGTGTGTGTGTGTGTGTGTGTGTGTGTGTGTGTGTGTGTGTGTGTGTGTGTGTGTGTGTGTGTGTGTGTGTGTGTGTGTGTGTGTGTGTGTGTGTGTGTGTGTGTGTGTGTGTGTGTGTGTGTGTGTGTGTGTGTGTGTGTGTGTGTGTGTGTGTTTTTTTGGAGGGTGCCACTTTTGGGGTTGGGGGCGCGGGGTCCCCTCCCTTTGGCGCGGGGGCGCTGGCAGCATGGGAGCCACCTCGTGTGTGTGTGTGTGTGTGTGTGTGGGCGTGTCAGTTTGCCGGTGGCACCATGTTTGCGGGGCGCAGCAAGTTGTTCTTGTTGGTGAGTCCATTCAGGAAGTGAGACATGGATCTGTAGATTTCCCACGCTGGACCCATCAGACCAGATATCACTCCAGGATGAATTGATTATGTTTTTGCTCAAACTAGTGTCCTGAAAAGGTGCTCTGCCTAAACAGTTGCAACCAGTAGCTTCAAGCCATCTCTCAATTGGGTTCTATGCAGCACTTCCTACTTTGAACTGGACATGACTCCAGAACGGCAGTTGGCGCATTAGCTTCGTCCGTACGGATGCATGCCGTATTGTAGTTGCTTCTTCTTTTGATGTCGCCATGAATCAGCCTCTGTGCTACTTGGCTTGCTTGTTCTGTGTTCGGAATCTGAGACTGACCCACCAGCCATCTCCTACAATCCCAATCCATGCATGACGTTGCCACCGGATAAACAAACCTGGCAGATCAAGAGGGCGTGTGTTTTGCCCAAAAGTGAAGGACTCCTCAGAAAATGAGGCACCCCTGGGCCATCAATGAGAGAATCTGGGTGCCAATTGGTTGGGAGGAGGCCGTTCAAACTTTTTCCCCAGCCAATGCAGGCAAGTTCAGTCACCTAATGGCCTCAACATTGCGGTTGTTCGTTTGGTTTCCCTTTCACACACAAGTGGGTGCGGGTACCCTAGTTGGACCGGTTGAATTCCATCGGACGCGCGTTTTGCAGGCTGCATCAAGCTCTGCGGCGCCCTCTGGCGCGCTCCAGCCGCTTGGAGCGGTGAGTCTCGGATTTGGTCGAAAAGAATGGCTTGAATGCTATTCTTGCTGGTGCGCTGTAGGGAATGACCCAGGGTGTTGAGAATGAACCTTGGGATTATAGGGGTCATTCCCTCCTTCCCTATTGTATTTGGCGAGTTGGTTGAATGGTTGAACTTGAACTTCGTTAAACCCTTTGGGCTGGGAGTGGCCACAACTCCATTCAGTCGAACACGTCTCCGGCCAGAAGGCAATGAATATACTTTGGGAAGACACATGGCGCAGAAATGGCGCCTTCGTAAATTGGAAGCCAAATGGCTGTGGCTCAACCAAATGTACCTAAAATGACACCTTGGCAAATGGAACCAAAGACTACCTGAGGTTTGCCCTAGCTCTTTAATTTTGAGCCACGCCCAAATGATTGTCTTCAAAAGGAAACAAACCAAAATAACCCTGGAGGTACGGAACGACCCCTTTTTACCCCCCACAAGCCATCCTTAGGAGGTATCACTCTGGGTAAAGACGTTCGATCAAACTCTGCCAAAAGGAACGCTCTTCAAGTTTGTTTCGGGGCTTTCAAGGGGAGCCAAGGTGAAACAATCCTGCGGGTCCCCAAGTTTGAGACCCATATGTGTTTTATCGTGGGTGTGCCAATTTCTGCATGCAGAAAAATCGCAAGACAAGGATTCCTCTCTACAAACATCACCTTCGAAGGCCGCTCCGCCTTGGAAAGCTGAGCGTAAACAGGGAAATTCAGAAAGGACCCCAACCGCCCAAGGACAGGCGCCCGCGCGCCGCTGTCCTCAGTGCTGCTGCCGGCCGCCGCCAGCGGCGCCGCCGGCGCGCGGAGGACGCGGAAGCGGGGCCCCAACGGCGGCGTCGCGAGCCAGGCCTCGCCAGGGACCAAGCGCCAGCGGTACCGCTCTCGGAAGGCCTGGGAGAGGAGGGGGGCGGGGATATTGCGAGTTGTTGCATAGAGAATAGGCTGTGGGTCAAAACCAATGGGATAGATCTGGGGGGTTCTCAAAGGTTCTCTGGAAAGGGGCACGGCAGCGGAGGCTCCGTCCACGCAGTAATTGAGCCCAGTTGTGCAGTGGCACCCTCTAAGTCGCTTTTCGGTTGTCACTCATAAACGTGGCCTTGGACCCAGCAAGGAAATGGCTCTCTCTTCTGCCGTTCGGGTCACTGTTTGCAATTGGTAGTGTTCACCCTGCGTTCATCAACCTGGTGGATCAGTATGACTTTACAAACATTGAAAGACTGGCGAATAGATCAGACACCCCCAAAATGATCTAACCAGGGGGCGTCTTATTCCTGGGCGTCTTATGGATCGATCATCCGGGTGCGGGCCCCGGATCCTGGGGCAGGCGAGTTCCATCTCCCGGGACGAGGAGGATGGCCGCGAGCGCGTGCTCACCGAGGAGGAGAGCGGAGTGAATGGAGTTGCGTAGTGTGGGTGGGGTGCGTAGGTGGGCGTGGGTGGGGTGGTGTAGGGTGGGTGGGGTGGGTGGGGTGGGGTGGGGACAGTCCCAAGCATAAATTGTGTGGATGGACAAGATTCACATCGCACCAGTTGTTGGGTGGTTTATCCCAGAAGGCACAGCGGGTCATCCATCCCAACTGGTGCAGGCTTTGGCCATCCACAGGTGCGGCTGCACCTTTGATTCTTTACATGGTTTTGGGTTAAATTATTTAATTATTTTAGCTAGATAAGATACATAAGGACATGATTATGACTATATTACTCAGATGCCACCGTCACGGACACTTAGTAAGCCGGATGCATACGTCCGCATAACTTGTATTGGTTTATTATGCATTGATTCTGGCACTATCGGCAAGTTCAGATGGGGGGTTGTCAAAACACGGGCCTTTTTCTTGGTCGGTCTTCCAAGGCAAGCCCAAAGGAAACCAACCCCACCCGCTATTTTAAGGAAGCTTACAGGACTCGCGTTTGGTTTGGACCGAAAATCGTGGCTTATGCCAGTGTTCCATTCACTCGCTAGGATTGGCTCCCTGGCCCGCAGGAGCAGGAGCAGCGACGCCAGAAGCGGCGCATAGTCGTCGCCTCCCATAAGCGGCGACCGGACTACTTGGCCTTTGCGGCCAGCAGGCAGGGCGCGGGACGGGTGGGGTGCCATTGACGCTTGGCCTATTTCGCAGCCAAAAACGCGAAACGCCAAAAAAATAGTGGCTGCGACATAGACCCTAAGTGTCTTCCATACGGACTGGGGGGGGGGAAATGTGGGGGAGGGCTTTGGGGAGGGTCCGGGCACGCGGAGAGTAAGGAGTGGGGGAAGGTTTGGAGTTGAGGGGAGGGTTTGGAGGTCAGGCGGTGAGCAATTTTTACCTTTCTGAGTGGGGCGTGCCTTGCCGATATGATAAAGAGACCCTCAAAGTGCACAAATCCAACACTTTGGGAGCCCCTTGATTTCTCCAAAGGTGTCTAGAAGAAAGGCTTGGTTGTCTCGACCCAGAAGTACAGCGCTTGCAACATGTTGCTCCTCATGTTTCTAACGCAAACATACCAAGTCTGAGTCGGGTTTGGTGGTCGTGTGAGGGGGGTTGTCGTCTGAGTAGTGGCCCACAAGTGGGGAAAGGGGAGCAAGGCATCGTTCGCAGGGTTCAGACAGGAGTGCCCACCCACCGGAAGAAAGAGATGTCCACCAAAAGTGGGACACCTAATTAATGGCTGGCGGGTTTACACATCACGGGTCAAGATCTACATTAACCCATGCTCTTTAATTTTGCCCCGACTAGATGAGGCAGGACTCCCCTATGTATCCCCCGCAAATCGCGATTTGTCTGCGCGGCATGGAATCGTAGGGAGTTTAACTTCAACCTTTTGGCCTCTGTGCCATGGTAAATGGAAGACCTCTCCCTAACCTCTAACCGTCAATCAAACCCATCAATTATAATTATTTTGTTGGGCTGGTTGAAAGGGAAGCCAAGGGGACAGCAACCATTCCTCTTGCGTGCATAGCCGATCCGTGCTGTTTAGACCCCAACGAGTGCGCCTTAGGCCCAGGGAGGTGCGGGAGGAGCATGAGCCGATGACACCAGATCCGGCGCTTCGGCGAGAATGGCGAGTGAAAGTTCGGCGAGTGATCCCCAACCCGTGTTTGTTTCCTGGTTTCGTTCTTGTTTTTTGCTGGTTAAACCAAAGTCAGAAACTGGGGTGGTTTGCCTTTAACCTGCCACATGGGGGGTGACTTTGATAATTTCTCTGTCTTTTTCGCGGGGGTGGGGTTGTCAAGCTTTGCCATGGGCTCTCTAAATGGGACCATGACGTCCAATTTGGGTAGCCTGCCATGGGGTGTGTCAAACTCCAGTAGTTTTGTTTTCCCTCGTGCCAGAGGCTGTCTTAAGGCAAAAGGAGGCGTGGCCGGGAATTGGATTTACCATGAGATTGATGTAGTCCTGGGTCGAGGTCTTGAGACGCACCCTGAGCTCTAGGAGGCTTCTTGTGCGAAAGTTGCTTTGGCTCCCAGGCCACAAATGGCACGCCTAAGGTCCTGGGTGCTTCCATGGCATGTTGACTTTGGTGCATTTTGCTTGGATGTGAAGACTTTTTCAGCTTTTTGCCCACTCATGGGTTTTCCCATCAAACCACTCAAAGTTGAGAACTTTTCGCACAGACAGCCGAGTTGAGCTTCCGGCCCAGGAGCAGAATCTCAGCAAGCGGCCGTGGGAAGCTACGGTGCAGAAATGGCGCCAGGGCTTGCGTGCCTCGGCACGGTGCGAGGTGTGCCCCACGGGCTGGGTGTTGCAAGCTGTTGAGCAAGCAACCCGGACTGCCGGGTTCCTGGACTTGAGCCATTTTCTTGAGTTGGGAAAACCAGTAAGTGGCAAACAACAAGTTTCGACTTCTTTTGGCCAAGCCACTCGGGAAGCGAGGACTCTGGCATGAAGAGTTGCATGCAAAACGGTGGAAAGCCCACTCTTCTCCCGCGAAAGCCGAACGGTAGGCGTCCCATGGACCAGCCCGGAAAATGCGCTGCACACACGTCCAAAGCCGAGCTTTTTTTTGGGGGGGAGGGGTCCTGCCGGTCGATGTTTATTATCTCCCGGCCCCACACAGTTGACCTTCGATTCCCAAGTCCTGTGGGCAAGTGAGATTTATTGTTCAGCTTTGACCCAGGTGAGTGGCACAAGACGCACGGTGGTGGGGAAAATGAGGAGCTGGATGACATCAGTGACCCGGACTGAGGCGCATGGAATCCCACCCTCAGAGGCGTTTCACTCACTTGCTGAAGTGTCAGCCTTGGGCATCCATGCCTGGCTGGTGATTGGACACTTGCTCGTGGTATCTCCTTGTTTTGTGGTAAGGTGGATGACCAATCCTCATGTGGGATCCGTGCAACCAAGAATCATCCAGTTGTTGCAGCTGCTTCCCAAACGCGCTAGCAACATCTGGTAACATGAGGGGGCCGAGCTGTAAGGATGCATGGTTCCCCTTTCCTGCGTTTTCCTGCCTACAGTAAAGAGCCTGAAAGTTGGGAGAATAGTCAGCTCAGCACGCTTGGGGTGACGGAACCTGTGAGGATTTGCCAAGCACTCTATGATGGTCGCCTTGCCAGTCACCCCTTTTTGCTTGGACCATTTGCTACTGGCGCGTTTTGTCCAGAACATCATTCACGCCTGGTTCTCCGAAACAGAATGGCCCCTTACACGGAAATGGTGTTCAAGTTCCTTGTGGTCGTGTCGGCCTTCGACGGACAGATGTCGACGTTCAGTTTCTCCGTTGAAATTTCACCGGGAGCTAAGTGGAGGGCAAGTGAGATGTGGCTTCCGGGGTGCAACCCCTAGCGGAGAAAGTTTGCCGAGAGCCAGGCAGCTCCGTGCTGTCCTTTGGCTCGGCAGTGTGAAGTAGGTTATTTCTGTTCCGGGTTGCAGGTGTTGTACAGTGCACCTACCCACCTTAGCTGAGATAGAAGTTTGCTCAATACACATAGCAGATCGCGAGTATCGAGCCATGTTTGTGGCACGTGTATTTGGAGGTCATGCCCACGCCCGCAACGCAAGTTGTATGGTTTTGCACTAGCTGTGGCGAGCTTCCCTCCGGGCTTATCGACGAGCTCACGCACAAAACAACTCCCTTCGCCTACATTCCTTGGCTCAGGTTGGCAACTTGCCCTCCCACCAACTAGCATGGGGAAACTGATTCGGTCTCTGGAAGGCCGTGTTCCTTGCAAGCAAGCCTTCTGGTGAGTTCCATATTTGTGGGAGGGAGGGTAAGAGTAATTAGTGCAGATGGTCGAGTCTTGTTCGTGGGAGGGGGGGTGTCGGAGGGGTTTGAAGGTCTCAGAGCGTGCCCACATCCATGGCGCGAGGGCTTTGATCTGGCCCGGACGGTGTCAATGACAAGTGGAAAAAGAACGCCTTCGATCCCGCAGGGATGACAGGTGCGCTTAGGTCAGTTTGGTTGAACAATGGGTGGAACCTACCGGCCATCTTTTCCAATATCACACCTCGGTTTAAGGTACTGGCCCTCAAGTGCCTCGAGCTACTGTGGATGGACGAAATCCTGCATCACCTGAGAAACCATAGAATGATGATTCCCCTATAAATGCCAACAAACAGTGGCTTCTCATGGTTTTAAAGTGGTGCAGGATTTCGTCCATCCACAGTATGTGCCGGCTTTGTTGGCCGGATGCGAGTCGGTGAACTTCGGTTAGGCCCTATGCGGCGTCACGGCTCACAGGGGCACCATGCAGTTCAGACCTGGGCTTGAAGAAGGGCGAAACCGCTGCAAGATGAATAGGAGCCATCGGACGGTGCCTTTGGCAGGAGAACGGTCAACAGGACTTCCATCGGACAGTTGTGACTTGCATCTGGCCAACTAGATCGATCCAGTTCACAGGGACTCCGCTGGAAAGCGGCCGAGCGCCCGGTCGGCGAGCTGACGTTGGGAACTCGTGGTGCGCAAAGGGAGCAAACTTGGGCCAAAGAAGTCCCGAATGCAACCTTAATATACATTTCAATCAAATAATATATATGTACACTATGTGCTTCTGCGGGGGCTGGTTGCATGGAACCGGGCTTTTTCCGGATGGTCTTTCCAAATCCTGCCCAATTCCATTGGAGGAAGGCGTGGGGGTTTTCAGGGCTCCATATTGGGATGCCTTCCGATTCCCGCTGCCTTTGGGCTCGGAAGTGCCTTTAGAACTGGGCCGAACTCAGGACGAGTGAGATGGATATTTGGGAGCATCCGAGGCTGGGCCTGTTCCCGCCACCTTGCCTTGAATTGGGTTGGATTTTGTTTGACGCAGCACCGTCAAGTCACGTTTGCCTCCCAGCGCGCTTTCTTTTTGGAGAACCGTTGGATTTATCCTCGGGGGGGATTTCGCTGGTTGATTGCTTCCGCTTTGGACCCGCCGCTCGGTTCGGCGAACTTCGCACCCCCCTGACAACCCAAAACCAACCCCCAAGTGCACCTTCAAATGGAGTTGAGTACTCCCGAGGGTCTTCTCCGAGGGGGGATAGGCAGTGGGAGTGTGGGGACGATGTTTAGAAGGCGGTCCCGACTTGGGCAGCGGGTGGGGGTGGGGTATGATTCACCTTCCTGCGCCCAGGGCGCCCAATTGTAGACCTTGGCAACCTGTGCCAACCCCAAAACTTCCTCGATGATCAGTTGGCCGACGGCTGATTCTAAGCGACAAGAAAGAGGAGGTTGCTTGGAGGGTGGGCAACCAAAGGGCTGCGTGTTAAATGCGTGTTAATCTTCACAGGCGGGTTTCCAATCACACATGGTTTCTGTGTTTCGAGCATGGGAAATGGGACCAACCCCCGCGATGTGGTGGCTTGAGGCCTTTGTGTCAAAGCCCAAGCCAGAGCAGTTTTCATACCCCAGTTGCAAGTGATGTGTTTGTCAACATCCTCACCACTGAGCAAGCCAGTGTGAAATCATCACCTCACCGGTTGGTTGAGAGAGCGCGAGAGAGAGAGAGATACAGAGAGGCTGTCAGGGCCAAAAAGCAAGCTTTCCAAATGCGGGTGAGACTAAAACTAAATGTGCGACAAAGTTGCGCTTCGATTTCCAGGGTTTGGCTCGGTAGAGAGAAGGGAGGTCCCTGCATCTTGAAGGCATGGAGGAGTGCAAGACATGATCCTGAAAGAGAGGCCGGGTCGGCCAAGCGCAGCTCCAGTTTCTTCACCCTGTTTACTTCCACCCCCCAAAACAAAGCAAAAATTGTTGGAGGATTTTTTTGAGGGGCTTCTTTCGTTTTCGGGTCCTGGCTAAACTTCCACCAAAGAACATCCCATGCCCAGCAAGGTTTGGTGTTTGGCAAGCTGCTTTTCAGGCCAGGGTGGACCTCTTGAGTTGCAAGTTGCGCAAGGAGTCTGAGTGTTGCTGAAGGTTTGGCTTCTTTACCCATCTGCAAACGGGGCCACCCTCTTTGTTGGCTTACCGGCAGACTCTTGGAAGACAAGCTCTTTTTTGGAACTCTTTGCAGTTGTTCTTTTTTGGCCAACCTGGATCTGCAATAGGTTTTCCTCCATCTCTCTTTTTTTGGAACCTCCAAAAGTGTCAGTTTCAATGGCACCACTGGTGAGCTATCCAGTGACCCCCGTCCACCCCAAGGGCTGCCCGTCGCTGGGGCCTGGCGCGCGTGGGGCTTGCTTGCCAGGAAGTGGGCGGCCAAGGCCATCGAGCGCTTCCGAGAGCACCGGCCTGCGGTCATCCAAGAGGCCGACGTCTCTCTCAACGCGAAGCCCCCTGAAATCATCGGTTGGCCCTGGGCCTTCTTTGCCTTTGCGATAGCATGCAGTGTCTGTTCGACACAGCGTTTTGTTTTTTTTGGAGCGGGGGAGGAGCAGAAGGCCCCAAAAACCAACAAGTCGGTGTGTTCAAAAGGAATCCACTTCAAAAGGAGAAGCTGCGAGCGCTCGCGCAAGTCAACTGCAACCTCGGACCTCTACCTTTTCAACACCCAAAAGGGAAACGCAACTTGGCGTTTCCCGGACGTCCCCTTGGGGGTTTAGGTTGTTTGTTAGGGTTTGCTGGCAGTGTCCATTTAAGCCCAAAAGTTAGGAGACAAGCTGGTCCTGTGAGGCGAGAACTGCCCATTCCCTTGGATGTGCGTCAGTAGGTTATGACCGTGGTAAGGGCGCTAGTTGCCATTTCTTAATGAACATGATTATATACGATTATGACTTTAAGTTAGTTGAACTTCCAAGGTTGGCCCTGAGGCTTCTGCCTGAGAAGCCCATGTTGGGTTTCCCCGTGGTCGACGGTCAAATGACGACTAAGTGCTGCTTCCCCCTTTGGATGTTGAACAGGAAAAGGCTACACTTGGGGGAAGGTAGATGGCACAACCTTTCAATTTTCCCATTTGGGCTTGGTCATCTCCTTTATGGACATAAAGCAGAAACAGTGCCATCTACTTTGGCGCAACCAACTTGGTCTCCTCATTTGGCCCAAACACAGGCCAACTTCGCTTCGCAGGTCAAGCCACAGCCCCGCCCGGAAGGCGGGACAAGTGTCTTTTTGCTTTTCGGGTCTTTTTGGAAAGGGGATTGTGGTTTCCTTTTCACGAAAGCTAGCTTTAGCTAGCTGAAGTTTCTCCTTGCGTAAGCAAGGTAAGGGGCTCAAATGCCGAAAGATTGATTTTTTCAATTATTTGAGCCGAAAAGATTGAAAAACATCAATTATTTAGACCCCCCCCCCCTCCCCCCCCCCCGGGTCTCAGGCTCGATTCCTCCCTGGTCCATCCCCCCCCCCCCGGGCAGTGGCTCAGTGTTCAGCAGTCTCGGTTTGCCCGTTTTGGACTTGGTGCTACGAACTTTTACATGTTCCACCGATTCAGCTTGTTCATTTGAGACCTCAGTCTTCTCGGTAAACCACCTCGCAAGAATCTTTGCACTCGCTGCATGCAGAACCCAGAGGTGCTTTAAGACAGCTTCTGACGCCTCTCGTTGTTTTCAGTTTTCAAGGTTTGCCACGCCACCATGTGCGTTTGCGTGTCGCATCCTACGAATCTTGCCGGGCCTCTCGTTGTACACAAGCTACCTATGAATCCACTCTGTCACCGACCCATCTCATGCAACAACTGCTAGCTTTCGTTCACCCGCTCCTCAAGTGTTTAGGAGGGCCCTTTTGGGGTGGGTACAACCCAGTTGAATCCCCCTATGTTGACACCCGATTTTAGTGGCAGGCAAACCGTGTTTGCCTTATTTCGGCAAATCCACTCAGGCGAGATGTGGTATTGGTGAATCATCGAAGTGCATCGGGTGCAGTGGGAACCGGATGCATGGCGGCCGTCAGCCTTGTCAGCAAGAGGAAGTAGCACCTGATTAATGTGCAAACCGACTACTGGTACAG